TTTCAACCTGTCCTCTGTCGCTATATTACACACACACACACACGACAAGTTGGACAATATCACAAACCGTAACATATAAACACCAAGCTTATTATACTTGACCTGAATATAGTACGGTCATAATTGCTTAAAAATATAAATATCTTTGAATTTAACTTTTATTACATGGTGAGAAAAATAATAGTTACTTTTGGGTGTTGTCTTTCCTTCCTCGGTGTTGATGGACGGTTGAAAAATAATACTAAGAAAAGCACAGCAGTAGTCACACCCCTTATCCCCTACACCCATAGACGTTACAGGATCGGGAACAGCGTTAAGAGAGACAGTGGCAGCAGAAGAGGCATTGATAGGAATAGTTGAGGCAACAGTGATACGAGCAGTAGAGGCAACAGTGATACGAACAGTAGAGGCAGCAGTGTCCAGGGAGCAGGGAAGACACGGGTGGTGAGCACAAAACACGCCGCCACAACAAGGCTGCGGTCATCCCTAATACCTATCATTTTCAGGGCAACACCAGTGTACCAGGACTCCCAGGGCCCACCAAGCTTCCTTCCTGCTACTGGTAGGACTTCGTGGTGCCTACACACACACACACTCTCTCTCTCTCTCTCTCTCTCTCTCTCTCTCTCTCTGAACGGGGTTAAAGGGAGAGACAGGTAGAGAGAGAAATTGAGACGGATGGAGAGAGAGGGTTGAAATAACGAGGTAGAGAAAGAGAGACTCTTCTTTCACGGTGTTGTGGCTTCACTCTCACTGAATAAGAGTACTGTTCTCAGGGTCCAGGTGAGAGAGAGAGAGAGAGAGAGAGAGAGAGAGAGATGATACTGACGGAAAGTACACGACAGACATCGAAGGAAAGACGTTATGGCAGATAGACAATTGGAATAGAAGACCGAGTAAACAGTAAATATAGGAGAGTAAACGATAAATAATCATGAATTCCAGTGTACGTATAACAATCACCATGATGTCATCTCACTAGAGGTCACTGGAGGCTCTGGTAACAACCCGGAAATAGGACCTTTAAATAAATGTCTCCTTGACTCTCCACTTCCTCTGTCACCCTAGACTTGACCTGACGCAGTAATTACACACCGTCCGTTCAGGAGAATACAACACTTACTGGTAGATACAGACATTGGGGCATTACAACACATAGCGGTGCCCGTTCCTCAATTTTGGAAGACTAAAAATACGGGGGTAAGTCTTAGAACTACGCCTTGATGAGGAACCACTGGAAAGCACAGAATGCACTCGGTTAACTCGTGCAGGTAAAATGTACCCAACAGAGGCGTGGGCAGTGTTGACAAGTGAGGAGCCATGGTCTTAGAACAAGATTATACCTGGGTTAATGTTAACTGGAAGCAGAGACGAGAGACAGGTGGGGGGGGGGGTGTCAATCTATTTTGGTGAGGGTGATAGTGGTGACGATAATGGTGGTGGTGAAGAAGGTAAGGTTGATGGTGGTTGCATGAATGATGATTTTTTGTACACGGAGACAAGATGCATAACTTGTGGTGTTCACTTTAACACCCCCCCCCCCTCCACACACACACAGAACAGTAACATCCTCGAATGATTTCCGCAAATATATCGTCATCTTCCGACCATCTGGTTAAAGGCAACACCACATGCTTGTAGAGACCACACACACACCCCCATGAAACACCCACGTTGATGGTAATTGCGCTTTTTGCGGCACCTGATGGCCGCCCACGTTTATTACAAACGTCTTTATCGCTCCCGGATAATTATGGATAGCGGTGTTCTCCTGGTCACCTAGTGAGAGTAGCCCTTTGTTGGTCCACCAGCCAGTGTTGAGCCTCCGTCCTAGCCTCTGCCTGCACACAAGTCAGCGTGTCACCAGTCTGTCGTCATCTCACAGTCCCTACGCTTGCCACACCAGAAGCCAAGCAGGGGTGGTGTTGGTTGTATGTCACGGCTAACGTCACTCCTGGGAGTTAGAGGTATCTTGTAATCACCACAACCACCCAGACTAACCAGAGAAACACTGTAGCCATAGTACAGTATAAGGGGGCTTAGGGATGCTCAGGATCTTAATTTTTTCAGTGTGTCAATGGCTTTTACTGTGTCTCCACAATACCCAGAACACGACAGACGTCTGAATATCGTAAATGCGACACATCACCGTGAACGCGACGGACATAACCCAGTCAACAAACAACTGTCGTCGGCACAACTGCCTCTCAACAAATAGCACTACAATAACTAATTGCAATAGCCCTGTCTGGAGCATCAATTTTGACCATGATCACTTCCAATTACAATCAGCTGAACCCGATTTACTACAAAAGCACAAAAATTTCTTCTTCCCTGTCACCTCTTTTCAACTTTCCTGGTGATGGTTTATTTTCACATCTCAGAAACATCTCAGTGTGCTGGTATGTAAAGTTTGGGATTGTTTCAAACGTGATCTCTAACTTTTCCTCTCCCCACTCTGACTTCTCATTTTACAAACTCCTCTCTCAATGTTGCGACACACATACAGTACTCTTTCTCTCCTGACACTACTGTGGTGACCATTCTGTTTGACACCCTCACAGACAATATACATAATAGCTAACTGATCCTACAGCAGGGTGTTGGGTCAGGTCAACATCCACAACACACAGTGGTGGGTCACTGTGTCGGAATATTATGGTCCCGTGTGTAAGTAAAAACATATAGAGGTGTTTTTTATATTATTATTATGACGCCGGTGACGCCATTTTGAGGTAACCCAATTTAAATCTGTAAGGAGTCCTGTACAGCAATGTAATGCATATTGTCACCTAAAAGGAGGCAATAAACTCCTGAAATGAGTTACGTAGTTCTAATCTTGCCCTTGACAAAATAATGTAAATGAAGGAAGATTGTATATTTTTAGTGTTTGGGCCATTTTAGGGACAAGCAGCGCTTCATATGATAAACACTTAACTAAAATCTGATACTGCTCTCAGCGTGACTTTCATTCATATTCTTTTGATCGATGTATAAGTTGTTTTCACATCAATGAAGGCCAATGTTAGTGCTTATAATGTACTTTTACATAAATGGAAGTGCTTGGTGGAATTGTTGGGCTAACTCAAAGTGAATTTGCTTTGGGCAACTTTTATTTTGTTGTTCTAGAACTTTCTAGGCTAATTATAGAATATGTCACACCAAAGGAAATGTCATCATGATTTGGCAGGCAGTGTGAGGCCAAGGATGTTCAAGAATGTTAATAAAATGAAAGGGTTTATAATAATCCGTGGAAATCTCTTCACAAAGCTTAAAGAAGTTCTGAATCTCATGACAAAAACTGTGATCAGTCAGGGCATAACAAACCAAGAGTGCAAAACAATCCACACCGTAGAGAGCTAATTTGGTTACAGTTCAATGCACTCAACTAACTTATGTAGCCATTGATCCAGTCCTTCTCTCAACTCACTCGGAAAACCAACCTGCTCGATTAGTCTTTGTCTGCTGCTCACCACGACGAAGGGATGAGCAGATAATTGATTCCCTATCTGAAATTTAGTAGTAACAAGATAAGCGAGGTCATCCTAAAACTATATCTTGCGCTTGTGAGACCTCATTTGGATTACGCAGTTCAGTTCTGGTCACCGTACTACAGAATGGATATACGAGTAGAATCCCTAGAAAGAATTCATATGAGAATGACAAGACTAATCCTGGGCATTAGGATCCTTCAACCTTGAGTACAGAGACGGGTTAAAGCATCTTAATTTGCACTCCCTCGAGAGACGTAGAGTGAGGGGCAATATGATCGAGGTGTATAAATGGAGGTCAGGGTTAAACAAAGGTGATATAACAAAGGTACTCAAACTATCCAACCAGGAGCGAACTCGTAACATTGGTTTCAAATTAGACAAATTTAGGCGCGAGATAGGTAAACATTGGTTTGGATATAGATGAGTGGAACAGGTTACCAAATATCATCATTAACTCGAATACGCTGGATAGCTTCAAACAGGTTGGATGGATATATGAGCGATAGGGGTTTGAGTGTAAACGGGACTGCCCAGTATGGGTCAATAGGCCCGCTGCAGTTTCCTCCATTCTTATGTTGAAGTATCGTATTCTCTTTCTGTTTGTCATAAGAAATATGTCTTCTCGGAGATAAAGGATTTTTATCTAGGGTATTATCAACACCAAGACCCACACACTAACCTTACCTTACCTCGCCCTGTAGTGGATGTGGAGTCGGGGGGACATTACAAAGGTACTCAAACTATCCAACCAGGAGCGAACTCGTAACAATGGTTTTAAATTAGACAAATTTAGATTTCGGCGTGAAATAGGTAAACACTGGTTTGGAAACAGAGTAGTGGATGAATGGAACAAGTTACCAAATATCATCATTAACTCGAATACGCTGGATAGCTTCAAACATAGGGTGGGTGCTTATATGAGCAATAGGGGTTGGGTATAAACGGGACTGCCCAGTATGGGTCAATAGGCCCGCTGCAGTTTCCTCCATTCTTATGTTCTTATGTTCGTTCATTCATGGCACCGTTCGTCGTGTTTTTCACTACCATAATCACGGCCACCTCCACACACCGGATTTCTGCTTCATATAATTTTTAAGACAGACTTTTTCTGTGTGGTCTGTTGATTGTAGCAGTGCTTGACAGGTCCTCCAGAGCTCCGTTATGTGATATGTTGAATGTTAGAGGCGCCTGATGGAATGTGGGACCCTGGTGCAGCTCTAGTTAATGAGGTGGCTGTGTCACCATCCTTTAAAATATGTAGTTACATTATTTGTTTATTGGTTTACATTGTGTGCGCGTGTTTATTTATTTGTATTGGTTGATAATTTTTTTATTTATTGTTTAATTCTTTTTTCATCCATCTATGTATTCATCTCTTTATTAATTTCCTATTTATTCATTCATTGGTTTAAGTATTTATTATGGTGAAATACTATATTATGGGGCTATCTAATTATCTCCAGGTGGATATCAACCTTTGACCTGACGTGACCTCTCTCTCAACAGGGGCACCGGCGCTGGAGGTAGTGGGCACTAGGCCGCCCTCCCTGTACGTGACCCAACCTGACCGTGTGACCTCTGACCTCGCCACAGACCATGACCACGCCCGCCCCAGGAACACAGTAAGTTACTCCACACCGATGATTGTTGTAGGGGTTCAGTTGAGTACTGTGACTACTGTTTTATGGTACCTTGCCCTATAGTACCATGACTTATATAATACCATGATATATTTAGTATCGTGGCTCACTGTATATGGTACCATGACAATATATTATATGAGTACCAGCATAAGTTTTATATTACCGTAGCTTATAGAAGTAGTACGAGGGAGATGGATGACTATATAAGGCACTGTACCAGCGCGGTTAGTTGCCTGGGCCTTAGTTAGCTGATACAAGGAACGGACGCCATTTTACATCTTGCACGACAGGTGTTCAGCACTTGATGAGAAGACTGGACAAACATTTGGCACTTTAGAAAATATGCCCACGAAAATAATGTAACACACGCAAAGCCATTTATAACCTTAGAGTTATTTAAACAGTGAAATAATTGCAGTATGTGTCAATGTGGTTAAGAATGTTCATGTAACCACTAATTTATTTAATTGTAAAAATGTTGTCTGATTGTACAGTATTTGTTATATTTTGCAGTAACAAAAGGCTATTTTATATATAAAGATACGATTAACTTTGAAGTGTTGAATATTTAAAAAATATATATATAAAAAACCATTGCGATACAAACAGCTGCAATGCCTATAACAGCAATAGAAAATGTAACAGTAGTTATTAAGTATCGCAATAAAAAGTAATATTCGTGATTTCTTTGATAATAAAAACAAATTTCTTTAAACACGAATCACAAATCAGAACCTTAACGTAAGTATAGAATTACAGTGATTCTCAGTACTGCTCTAATGCCATTTGGGGCGTTCTGAAACATCCAGACCCGAGGAAAAATGAATACACGGACAAATCTAGGAGATGATACTCGGCAGTTTTTATAATCCAAAACATTCTCTCGGTTCTTTGCAGACGATTCATTCCTCTTTTCATTGCAGGTGACGTCGCCGGAAAGGAAGACAGGAGGAGGAGGAGGAGGAAGGGAGGACGATGGAGAGTCAGGGGGTCGCGGCGGAGGAGGAGGAGGAGGGGGGACATCGTCAGCCTTAGGTAGTACCCCAGGCAAGAAGCAAGAAGCCCAAGGCAAGATGTCCGTGACCCTCAGTAAACGTGACTTACTCAACCATATGGTGAGCCAGACCAAGCAACACCGCCAGCAGATCAGGTCAGTGTCGGTTCTCTTGTGTGGCATCTGAGGGGGTTACTTGAAGTAAGACCTAAGGGACGGACGGGAGACCTGAAATGGGACCTAAGGGGTGGTGGAGTGGCTGAAGTGTAGATCAGGTCAGTGTGAGTCTCTTGTGTTGCACCTGAGGGGGAGATCTGAAGCGAGACCTAATGGATAGGAGTGACCTGAAATGGGACCTAAGGGATGGGGGAGACCTGAAGAGTAGATCAGGTCAGTGTGAGTTCTCTTGTGTAGCACATGAGGAGAAAACTGAAATATAAATCAGGTCACTAAGGTCTAAAGGAAAGGGGCCCCGAATTTGGGACTTCTCAGGAACAAGGGGAGACAACACTACGCCATATCCAATATACTCCTGAAGCAAGATCAGGTGTGACACAAACTCACATGCATCACCCAGATGTTTATAGTGATGTGTCGTCATTAAATTTTAAAACTACTTGACATTTGGATGTTACACAAATAGATATACCAGCCTTAGAAGGTGAGGGCGTGTGGATTGAATTACATATGTTTACTTCCCGCCGTCACTCATACTTTACTTTTTCCCATGACCATTCCCGATTCATAAAGTATATGCGACTTACGGTAGCACTCAGGATTCCCATTCAATGAGATACGATCTTGATATGTGGCGAGGCAAGGTTATAGGGTGTCACTTCCTAGTTATAGTGCACAGAGGGGTATGCAGAAGTAAGTTATGTTTGGTTAAGGTTGTAGCCCATTGACTATCAACCGCACACAACCTGTCATTCTGTCCTGTCATGAATCTGTGCTAGCCTGACCCTTCGCACCTGTGAGTTGAAGTGGCGCAAAATGACTAAGGTGCACCAGTGCTCGAGACTAACACTGCAAGGAACTATGCTAACCAAACTCTCTCACTTAAGGGGTTGTCACTCCAAGAATAGTGGAGACCAATAAACACACTAGTGATGAGTAAGATACAATGAATAACATTTCATTGTATTCACAGGAGCCTGGAGAACGAACTTGAGCGGCTGCGGTCTGGGGACATGCTGAACAAGTGTGAAGTAAGCGTGGGTGATGTGGAGTGGCGCCCCGGGGATGTGGTGGGTGAGGGGTCCTTCTCCACCGTGTACCGCGGCACTTACTGCGGCACTGAGGTCGCCGTCAAGGAGCTCAAGTTTAAACTATCTCAGGTATTTGCTTAATTTCTTAAGACATGTTAGTTAAAAATAAAAAAGGAAGCACTCAAGTTAAACTAACTCGGATGTTAACTAACTCGAGACCTGTAAGTTAGCTATTAGGCAGATTCTACTAAAGTTTGAGCTACAGTGTATCTCGGGTATTAACGAACTCACGACATGTTAATTAGCCTCTTTATTATCTGTTTTAGTAAAAAAAAAAGATAATAAACTCTCCCCAGGGACGTAGACTATTTTGAAAAGGTTGTCGTAGGTAAATTGTTAGGAGTAAGCCTTACAATTTTTGGCATTTCGTCCAAAAAACAGAATTTGTTCAAAATCTCAGTATAGGTACTCCTGAACATGCTGCTTAAGGATCTGTTAACCAAAATTTGATATCTGGATTATTGCTTGTTCAAATGATTTTTAGAAAATTTTAATTACATGTACTGTATTGATAATTAAAAAAAGTTTGTGTCTTTTGCTTATCTTAACTCTGCAGGACTATCAGCCTCTTTGTGACTATTCAGATTGTCCTGAATCCTATTGGACCCAACCTAACCACTAGGCTAGGGTAATAGCTCAGTCCTAATGGGCTCCATTCTCAATAAATTGAATAGGTTAAGTTGGGGCACAATAGGTCTTGAGCCCATTTGTTGTGCAACCTTCTCTGTAGTCCTCCCTACCAACTCCCGTATTTTGGTTGTGTAGTGGTAGGTTGGCAGACTGTGTTCTCCGTGGTTGAGGGGAACTTGGTTTTTCAATATTATGAGTGCTGGATAAGCTCCAACACATAGACTGAATTGTGGAGTTGTCAGAGATGAGGTTTATTTCATGCTGAATAAGAGTTGAGTAAATGTATTGTCGCCAGCAAACATGTAATTTTGGTTACTGTACTGTATAATCATCCTTACGAGAAAAAGCAATATTTTAATGTTTCCATTTCTGAGCCAAATCTAAGCTGGACTATGGAAGATGTAATTTTTCTTATGGTTTAGTGTGCCTTCCCCTATTTATCACATGATTTTGGTTTTGATTTCGTTGAGTGTGGAAGTACGCCCCTTGCATTAGTTGTTAACCCTTTCGCCGCGTTTCACACACACTTGCCATTTTATTCTGGCTACTGCCAGACGATTTTATTAAAGTCAGAATAACGCTCCGCTGCGAAAGGGTTAAAACCTATCTCGATTAACCTTTCGCCGCATTTCACGCACTTACCATTTCATTCTGGCCACCGCCAGATGGTTTTATTCAGCTCAGGGTAACGTCCCGCTGCAAAAGGGTTAAGGAAATATTGGTCAGTGGGACCACCAGTTCTAAATACAAATTCATCAACCATCTCAGGGGTACCTCCTGTTCTGGACCCCGACTTCGTTTGTCATAAATACAGAAACCTTGCCAATGTGCCACAGCCATTTCACCATGAACTTGCTCCCACAAACCAAATTTACGAGCCCTCGCCTGCAAACGCAGATTTACCTAGTGGGAAGTGACCTGCTTTCATCTTGGGTAGTGAGGAGGCCGTATCCTAGGTGTTGAGGTATATACACAGGTGAGCACAGTGACTCAACCACTACTAACTCACCGTACTTGTAGAGACGTCACGAAAATGCAACTATTTGTTAGACTGACTACTGTTACGTTATGACCTGACCTGTTTTTTACCTGAGTACAACCATATTTTTACCTCTCTGTAACAAGAGGTCAGAAATTTAACATTTGTCGATGACAGTTATTGGTTGTAAAAGGTTGGCGACCATTGAAGGTGTCTTACTTGGGATTCTTTAATTACTGTGTACTGTATTGAGATTATTGAAGAAACTTTCAAATGTTAGACCTCTTTTATGGTGACCTCTGCCCCTCTTCCTGGTTATCTTTATGACTTCTTGACCTTGTGTGACATCTTGACTTCTTAATGACGTCTCTTTGACCTCCCATGACCTGATTCTTAATGACTTCTCTTTGACCTCTCATGACCTGAATCTTCACGACTTCTCTTTGATCTCTCATACCTCCTGATCCTTTATGACTTCTCTTTGACCTTTCATGACTTCTTGATTCGTCATGACTTTTCTTTGACCTCTCATGACCTCTTGATCCTTTGTGACCTCCCATGGCCTCCATCGCTTTCTTTTTCTGATGACTTGTAACTCTGGTTCAGAGGCCTTACTGGATTCCTTGACCTCTTAAGGAAGTTCACACTCTGCAGATCCTCTGTGAGCTCTTGATCCTTCATGATCACTTTTGACTTATTTCTCATGATACTACTGTACTGTACTCGTGACCTCTAGACACAATCTCTTGCCAGTCCACAAGCTCTAGGTGCTTCTTTAACTTTAAACTGGCCATGTCCTTGACCCCGTGACCTGAATACTGTGACTATTGACCCATTAGTCCATGACCTCCCTACCTGGGTGACTCCTACAGGATGACAAGAACTACTTCCGGTCGGAGTCAGCGCTCCTGCAGCAACTGCACCACCCACGGGTCGTCCTCCTGATGGGGGTGTGTACGGGAGCCGCCAGACCCTTCATGCTGCTCGAGTACCTTTCAGGGGGTACACTGTACAACCTGATCCACTCCACCACGTGAGTACCTGACTTCCCCTACCTTATTCCTTCAGGTGTATAATGGAAAACTAGTAAATGTACAGTACCTATATATGTCTGTTTACCATTCAGTCCACTCAACCATCCCGTATTCCCTGCCCAACTAAACAGGATGGGACAAGTACACCCACTAAAAAATTATTCGGCACCCTTACGACGTGATACAATATGACACGGGTGCCGAATAATTTTTTTGGGGTTGACACCAGACGATAAGAAAACCACAGTCGTCATATCTTTATCCTCGTGCCCTGTGGAGGGAGTCAACACTTCCCTGCTACTTAAATGTTCCATACCTATTTCTTTTATCCACTAGGTTAATTTGTTAAACTAATCAGTAAATAATTATCCAGACGCGAGAGGCTGGATCACGCAGCGTACTTCGTGGTGGCCAAGGATGTGGCTCAGGGCATGAACTACCTTCACAAACACGAGCCACAGGTACGACACTTCTTGAGACTTGTACACCACACTGATAGTGATGATGTTGATTAATTAGTGACCAACATTGCACGTAAAAAGATATCACAGGCATGATGTCTGATCCTCAGACTGCAGATTGGAGTTGCCTATTGACTTACTTTTTATTCCACTTATTTTAGTCAGTAACTTCATTGTAATTATGCATTTTATTTCTCCCTTCTTCACACACTCGCACAGATTTATTTCTTGGGTAGCATTCTATAGTTTCATTATATGGGAGACATAAGGATTATCGTGACACACAGAAACATTTAGGACACTCCACTAGAAGCCAAGGATGTAATTAACCTGGTTTTTCGTTCGACAGGTGCTGCATCTTGACCTTAAGTCAATGAACGTACTCCTCGACTGCTACTACCGTGCTAAGATTGCCGACTTTGGCTTCTCCATCCTAAGGCGATCAAGAACTGGATCTCCTGCTCAGCGGGGCTCCATCAGGTAAGATTCCCCTCGCCCCTCCCCCACACACGGGAACATAGACAAGCTTCTAAGTACAGTTCACTTATACTCATACTTCATAATGATCACTTAAGCACAAATATTCATTCAAACAAAGAGAAATATATAATTCTTGAGCTTGTATTAAACTGTAGGAACACATAATACATACCACCACAATTCACTCCTACATTGTAGCACAGTAAAAATAAAAATTCATATAGCTTTCTGTGAGGTTTATTATAAATTAACAATTGTGCATTTTCATTGGTAGCTCTCAAACTTAACTCCGTTTCTTTCCCAGCAATGTCTCATTTTGTACCTGTACTTCCTTGCTGTTTTATAAAGAAGCTTTACTGTCCCCAGAGGCACACCTGCTTGGATGGCTCCAGAGTTACTGACGAAAGGTGATGTATCTGCCAAGTGTGATGTGTACAGCTATGCCATCATCCTATGGGAAATGCTCACTGCCAGCCATCCTTTCAAGGGCCTCGACATCTTCCAGGTGGGTGCAAGGTCTCCACACCTCGAATAAACCTATGTGAATCTGACCATACAGTGTAATAAGGCCAGGTTGCTGTAACATGGTATACTTTTTGGCATGAAAACACTGCACAGCAGAGAGTTGTCGGTTTTTAAACAGATTTACGTAAATGCGTTGAACTGTGAAATATTGTTATATGACAGAAATGAATAAATAGGTGGTAGATATAAATGAAATTGTCTCGAGTGTTTCCAAGGAAAGCGAGTTATAGAGAACTGTTTACTAGTACGACTGTGTTAATGCTCAGGTGGCTCAGAAATGTCGAAAATAAAGTCGTCTTAGTTTTGAGATGTACCACTAAAGAAACAGTAATGTACAGTATTACGGTTTCTTTAGTGGTATTTAATTTTCCTCATACGAAAGTAAGTTTCTTAGGTCAGTATTAACATGTTTACTGCCGTAAAAAGAACAACAAAATCTTTCATTCGACTTTATGATACAACCAAGTTCTTCCCCAGATCATGGAGACCATCGAGGCTGGGGGTCGCCCTCCCCTTCCCTCTAGTGGAGTGTCCCGAGAACTGAAGGAGTTGATTACATCATGCTGGGCCCAGAACCCTTCCCTCCGCCCCAGCTTCGAGGAAATTCTGGGGGCGCTGGAGTCAGCAGCAGTACCAGTGTCATGGCGCGGAGTGCTGCAGAAGGCCAATATCGCCCCCTCCCTCCTCTCTGATGTGGCCGCTGCCAGGTGGGTTTCTACCATCATACAGCAGTAGTAGCAACACTTGACTTGTAAGGTCCTGATTCTCAATGTATCGTACATTAAATTTTACCTTTAACTGAAACATGGAAAAAATATTTAATTAGGAGTCTCGGTACAGTGAATTAGCGCATCTTCAGTCCAGAAATAATTAAGTACTTTAATGTATGAATCTTTGAGGATCCTTAAGCCCAAATTGATAGTCATTGTGTTAAATAAATAAAAGAATTTTATAGTATAGTACTACTGTATGCATGGTAAAAATAAGTTTCTAAGTATCTGTGTACACTGTTTGAAACAATATGATGAAGGATATTGACAACCCTACCAAGACAACATGAGTCATAGGACCCTATTGATCAATTTAAAATTCATCATACAGATACTTTTTTCTTTTTTTCTTTTTTACCGTGTGTACATGAGTTTCTTTTATTGTGGGAAAGGGAATGTGCATACTCTGTGTGTGTGGCTCCTTTTGTTAAGTTTCTTTGTCTGGAAAAAATATTGGAATCTTATTCTTGAAATAAGTATGCATGACTTACTTTCATTTCATATTTTACATAGAAAGATGTATCAAAAACTGTTTAACAACATATAGATTTCGAATATGAAAACTGAAACTGTTAACTACTTATATTTACTGTATATGCTCTTCAAAATTCAGGTTTGAGTCAAAGTACACTCCAAGATTAAAAAACAGAATTGCCAAGACTTGAGATGCACTTCCCCAAAGTTTAAAGAGCCAAAATCATCTGTGCAGTCTCCCCTCCTATTTCGGTTTTGCTATCATTCAGCTTAAGTTTTCTCCTTGCCATCCAAATCTTAATATTAGACATCAGATACAAGTCATTATCTCCTCAATATCCTCAGCATTTTTTATTTTCACGTAAAGCTGTGTATTCATCAGCATAGAAATGGGAGGCAACTCCATTATCATCCAGCAGATGTGCAAGACTACTGGTATAGACTGTAAACAGAAGTGGTACCAAAACTGATCCATGTTGGATTCTAAACTGCCTCAAACTCTGAAACAAATCTAGAAGTAACATATTAGATGTAATCAAATGATAACAAAGACTTTATAAGTGCAGAATTGCATGTTTACATTATGTATAAATTTAAAATTAATTTGTAAGACAACTAATGGTGAACATGTACCCAGGACGATCATTGGGGTGGTAGAGCAGAGTGTGGAGCTGATGCGTCGCTCCCTGCAGCTCCAGCGAGCAAATAGAAACAGAAATAAAGAGAAAGAGGTGGCGAAGGACGAGCAACAGCCACATGTGTACGAGACCTTAGATGCAGTCACCTTTGGCCCCGCCCGTCTCTCTACCAGGGACGAGAAAGGTCAGTCTCCATCTAGTCTTCTGAGTTTTGTGATACAGTACTCTTTTATTGCACATATTTCCCGATTAGGTTGAAAGCCACTACTATCTCACCCTTGAAGCCCTTACGTAAATAACCAAGTCATGCGAGTCTATTATAGTAAGGAAAACTAAGCTAATATAAATTTATATTTGGGTTCATTACTCTAAGTGTGACTACTATTTCCTTAAAACGTAAGGGTGTTCAGGGTTTGATGGTAGTGGCTTGCATACAGGACCAAATTGTATAGAAATTGAGGTTATCAAGTGCATTGGCATACAGCAGTAAACACAAGGATGTAGAGAACATTTGTTAGGTCTAATGAGTATAGAATAAGTGCACTGAGACACTCTTCACATATATCAGTCCTTTACTTTCATGGGGAGTAATGCAGGACTGAGTGTGGTGAAGAAAGTGCCTTGAGGTTTTCAGAGTAGTACTGTATATTGGCATAGATTGAATTGGTATAATGAAAGATATCGTCATAAAAACCACTACAGTATATTACAACAAACAGTAAGCAGGAAATGTTGGAATACTGTATTACACTTCTAAGGAAATAGTGTGCCATGTATATTGTTTTATCATGGCTCAGTGCCAACATCCATTAGTGTATATTAGCTAGTATTATATAAATTTTATTTGGTGTGAGCTACCATGGTAATTATTGTCTTTACCAAAGGGGGTAAATCGTCGAGGTCTCCCCGTGAGCAGTCTTCCCCCGTCCACCATGCCTCGCCCTCACGACGACCTTCCCCCAGCAAGCAGCCTCGCCAGCGGGAGGTGTCATCAGCACGACAAAAGTCCTCGGGGCGGAGTCCTGAGCGAGACCGCCAGCGTGAGCCAGCACCAAGGGATGATGGTCGTCGTCGCTCACCGGACAAGAGGTCACGTCCACCTCGTAGTGACTTCAGCAGGGTAGGAGCCGCCAGAGACATTCGGGACAATAGTGTGGACCGCCGGGGAGGGAGAAAGGGAGTCAGCAGAGAACGAGGCAGAGAGCAGCTTGTTGACAGTCGCCAAGAAAGTAAAGATCGTCGTAAAGGCAACAGACATGGTCCAGAGTACAAGAAAGATAGAGAAAACAAAGGAAGAGATGTAAGAGGTGTAAAAGAACGAAGGAAGGAGGAGAGAGAAACAAGAGAGAGAATAAGAAAGAGCAGAGATCGTGACTTGGGCAATTATGAGTGGGAGGACGAACGCGGTTACGACCGTGGTCGGCGGGCGCCCAAACAAGTTCATGAGCGAAGAAATGTTAACAATATAGAAAACTATCCCCGTGACAGACGGTCCAATAGCCTGGAGAGTCGCAGGGAACGAGTGGATTGTCGCTCTAGCAGCAGAGACCACCAGTCCAGCAGCAATGAACGACGTTTTAGTAGCAGTGATAGACACTCTGAACTTCGTAGAGAGATTCGCCGACGCAACAGGTTCTACAGTAGAGAGCGACAGTCCTCTAGGGAGCAGAGAGGGGGTGGGAAAAGACACAGCAGAAGTGGTGAGCGTTTAGCAGACAGCAGAGACAGTCTGGGTGACAGTCCGGACGAATCATGGACCAGCCTCGAGGGAAGCAGCTCAGCAGGGTCCAACAATGTCTTGGATGACCCAGACGACCATCGTCAAGTGAGAGACCAAAGGAGGTATTCCTCGAGTCCAAGAAGGCGTTCACCTGAGCGACGGTATTCCCCCACAGTTCGTAACTCGGAACATCATCGCCGCTCACCAGATCGCCACCATAGCCCAGAGTATCACCACAGTCCTGAGAGGCGGCACTCTCCCCGCAGCCCACAGAGACGCTCAAGGATCCGTACCCCTGAAAACCGGCGGGTAGATTCTGGATCACGTTTGGGTCCCCTAGTAACGTCAGAACAGCTAATGAGTCAGAAACAGCGCCTGCGTCCTGTGCGGCCTGCGGCACTCTCTGACCTGACAAACATGCCTGAACACTCCCTCAATGACATTTCCCTCATCCTCAAAACAGCCATTACTAAACGGCGTGATGCCTTCGATGAGGGACTCAGTGGCCGTGACACTTTCCGCTCAGAAGATGTGGACTGGTCAGATTGGCACTGAGGGACTACGGGGTGCCAGGAACTACCAATCATTACTGCTAAAATTGTCCTTTTATATAGTGTGGGGACACCTTAGTCAACCCGCTAACCGCTGGAGTGCTGCAAGACTTGACCAGTTAACAAGACTTCCAAAAGGGATTTTGCAGTGATTGAAGGTGCACCTGGTAGCGAGGACGACTGTGGTGCTGATGCCTCACAGTTGGTGCAGGTACTCCAAGATAGCTCAGAACAAACAGCATGAGGGGAGTCAGTAGGTGCCCTCACAGTCGTAGCTGAAACCTTTATTTCTCTCGCACTCACACACGTCACCGTATTGGTAGTGTAAGTAATGTACCGTGCCTGTGTAGGTAGGAACAAGCAGTGGAGATGCGAATTTAGATAACGTTCACCAACAGTTATGTTACCAAAACACAACAGTTCTTGGATGGCTGGAGGCTGAGGAGCACTGTACAAGTACAGGTATGTGAATGCTGGTCTTGCTTTGACCTTCAAAGTGACCTTCAGCATTTACACTGTAAGTGGCACCTATAAGTATTTCTACTTTTGAAAATGGAGTAGTTTTGTATAGAGCTGGTACATAATATCCCTTTACTACAGTTGTAATATTTTTGTTTCATATAAAATAAATGTTTGTTAAATTGTTTTTTGATGATACCTCAATGATATAACATACTGTATATACTATAGTATATAATTTGTTTTAATTCATAGTTTTATATATATATATATATATATATATATATATATATATATATATATATATATATTTATATATATTTATATATATTTATATATATATTTATATATATATATTTATATATATATATATATATATATATATATATATTTATATATATATATATATTTATATATATATATATATATATATATATATATATATATATATATATATATATATATATATATATATATATATATATATATATATATATATATATATATATATATATATATATATATATATATATATATATATTAAATCACCGTAGTTGTGCGTGATCCAGGTATATGCTGATAACCACAAGGAAAGAAGAAAACACGAAGTTCCCAAGAGCTTTCGTGTAATTCACATCTTCAGGGATCAGTACAGACTAAGAAGAAGTACAGAACATGTTATATATATATATATACAGAGGAGGGTGAGATCAAGTCCACAGTGGTCTGGTATAGGTAATGACCCTACTAATCTTCACAAAAGCACTGCAGCGGTAGGTAATCAGGTCAGAGGGTAAGCTGCCCTAACCTTCTCACCTGGTGACAAATCTTCTTAATTACGCCTTACAGAGGCGGTGATGCTCCCATGGGGACCTAAAAGGGACCTCAGCGCCTGCAGGGCTTCTCCTAAGGGCGGCTGTAGCCCTAGGGGCCTCCCAAAGGCGGCGTCGCCCCCAGCGGCATCCTTAGGAGTAGTGGCGCCCCCAGGGGCCTCTCCGAAAATCGACTGCGCCCCCACTGCCCCTCCCAAGAGCGACTGTGCCCCCAGGGTCCATGCCAGGGGCCATCCTATGGGCGGTGGTGCCCCCTGGAGCCCTCCCAAATGAGGCGGCTCCCCCAGAGGCACTCCCAGGGTCGTCAGTGCCCTTAGGGGCCTCTCGCAAGAGTGACTGCGCCCCCAGGGGCCCTGCCAGGAGCAGTGGCTCCCCCAGGGGCCCTTACAGAGGCGGTGGTGCTCGCAGGGGACCTAAAAAGGACCTGAGAGGTCTGCAGGGCTTCTAAGAGCGGCTGTGGCCCTAGGGGCCCCCAAAGACGGCAGCGCCTCCAGCGGCCCTCCTTAGGAGTAGTGGCGCCTCTTGGGACCCTGCCTGGGGCGGTGGTGCCCCCAGGGACCCTCCCAAGGGCGGGGCCGCTACCACGGGCCCAATGAGGGTCAGCTGCGGACCTCAGAGGGGCAGTAACGAGATCTGGGACCCTCTCATGGGCAGCAAAGGCTCTTCCTGGGACAGCGGAGCCCCCAGGGGCCTACCCAGGGGCTGCAGCGCTCCTTGAGGAAGCGGCGCTGCCCAGGGGCCCTCTAGCTTCCTTGGTCGTTGTGTCACATATTGCATACGTCCAGCAATCCCTTACTTTACTGTGATTGGTGGACTCAACTGTAAATCCACCAAATGACAGCCAATAGGAAAACAGAGCAGTCAGTCAGCACAACACCCCAACTTATGTTTTCCTATTGGATATTTATTCTCCTTTACATTGTTCATGATGAGATGATACTGGAAATGCGATGGGCAGAGTATTTATTTATATCTCCCATTTTTCTTAATAGTGCAAAAACAACTGGTCCCAGGGGCCCTACAGGGACATTGTCCACTGGGGCCCTTACATTTGTCCTACCAGGTGCAGAGCCCCCTGTGGCTCTCCCAGGGATGTAGGTGCCCCCAGGGGCCTCTCCGAAAATCGACTGCTCCCCCACTGCCCCTCACAAGAGCGACTGTGCCCCCAGGGTCCATGCCAGGGGCCATCCTATGGGCGGTGGTGCCCCCTGGAGCCCTCCCAAATGAGGCGGCTCCCCCAGAGGCACTCCCAGGGTCGTCAGTGCCCTTAGGGGCCTCTCGCAAGAGTGACTGCGCCCCCAGGGGCCCTGCCAGGAGCAGTGGCTCCCCCAGGGGCCCTTACAGAGGCGGTGGTGCTCGCAGGGGACCTAAAAAGGACCTGAGAGGTCTGCAGGGCTTCTAAGGGCGGCTGTGGCCCTAGGGGCCCCCAAAGGCGGCAGCGCCTCCAGCGGCCCTCCTTAGGAGTAGTGGCGCCTCTTGGGACCCTGCCTGGGGCGGTGGTGCCCCCAGGGAACCTCCCAAGGGCGGGGCCGCTACCACGGGCCGAATGAGGGTCAGCTGCGGACCTCAGAGGGGCAGTAACGAGATCTGGGACCCTCTCATGGGCAGCAAAGGCTCTTCCTGGGACAGCGGAGCCCCCAGGGGCCTACCCAGGGGCTGCAGCGCTCCTTGAGGAAGCGGCGCTGCCCAGGGGCCCTCTAGCTTCCTTGGTCGTTGTGTCACATATTGCATACGTCCAGCAATCCTTTACTTTACTGTGATTGGTGGACTCAACTGTAAATCCACCAAATGACAGCCAATAGGAAAACAGAGCAGTCAGTCAGCACAACACCCCAACTTATGTTTTCCTATTGGATATTTATTCTCCTTTACATTGTTCATGATGAGATGATACTGGAAATGCGATGGGCAGAGTATTTATTTATATCTCCCATTTTTCTTAATAGTGCAAAAACAACTGGTCCCAGGGGCCCTACAGGGACATTGTCCACTGGGGCCCTTACATTTGTCCTACCAGGTGCAGAGCCCCCTGTGGCTCTCCCAGGGTTGTAGGTGCCCCCAGGGGCCTCTCCGAAAATCGACTGCTCCCCCACTGCCCCTCACAAGAGCGACTGTGCCCCCAGGGTCCATGCCAGGGGCCATCCTATGGGCGGTGGTGCCCCCTGGAGCCCTCCCAAATGAGGCGGCTCCCCCAGAGGCACTCCCAGGGTCGTCAGTGCCCTTAGGGGCCTCTCGCAAGAGTGACTGCGCCCCCAGGGGCCCTGCCAGGAGCAGTGGCTCCCCCAGGGGCCCTTACAGAGGCGGTGGTGCTCGCAGGGGACCTAAAAAGGACCTGAGAGGTCTGCAGGGCTTCTAAGGGCGGCTGTGGCCCTAGGGGCCCCCAAAGGCGGCAGCGCCTCCAGCGGCCCTCCTTAGGAGTAGTGGCGCCTCTTGGGACCCTGCCTGGGGCGGTGGTGCCCCCAGGGACCCTCCCAAGGGCGGGGCCGCTACCACGGGCCCAATGAGGGTCAGCTGCGGACCTCAGAGGGGCAGTAACGAGATCTGGGACCCTCTCATGGGCAGCAAAGGCTCTTCCTGGGACAGCGGAGCCCCCAGGGGCCTACCCAGGGGCTGCAGCGCTCCTTGAGGAAGCGGCGCTGCCCAGGGGCCCTCTAGCTTCCTTGGTCGTTGTGTCACATATTGCATACGTCCAGCAATCCCTTACTTTACTGTGATTGGTGGACTCAACTGTAAATCCACCAAATGACAGCCAATAGGAAAACAGAGCAGTCAGTCAGCACAACACCCCAACTTATGTTTTCCTATTGGATATTTATTCTCCTTTACATTGTTCATGATGAGATGATACTGGAAATGCGATGGGCAGAGTATTTATTTATATCTCCCATTTTTCTTAATAGTGCAAAAACAACTGGTCCCAGGGGCCCTACAGGGACATTGTCCACTGGGGCCCTTACATTTGTCCTACCAGGTGCAGAGCCCCCTGTGGCTCTCCCAGGGATGTAGGTGCCCCCAGGGGCCTCTCCGAAAATCGACTGCTCCCCCACTGCCCCTCCCAAGAGCGACTGTGCCCCCAGGGTCCGTGCCAGGGGCCATCCTATGGGCGGTGGTGCCCCCTGGAGCCCTCCCAAATGAGGCGGCTCCCCCAGAGGCACTCCCAGGGTCGTCAGTGCCATTAGGGGCCTCTCGCAAGAGTGACTGCGCCCCCAGGGGCCCTGCCAGGAGCAGTGGCTCCCCCAGGGGCCCTTACAGAGGCGGTGGTGCTCGCAGGGGACCTAAAAAGGACCTGAGAGGTCTGCAGGGCTTCTAAGGGCGGCTGTGGCCCTAGGGGCCCCCAAAGGCGGCAGCGCCTCCAGCGGCCCTCCTTAGGAGTAGTGGCGCCTCTTGGGACCCTGCCTGGGGCGGTGGTGCCCCCAGGGACCCTCCCAAGGGCGGGGCCGCTACCACGGGCCCAATGAGGGTCAGCTGCGGACCTCAGAGGGGCAGTAACGAGATCTGGGACCCTCTCATGGGCAGCAAAGGCTCTTCCTGGGACAGCGGAGCCCCCAGGGGCCTACCCAGGGGCTGCAGCGCTCCTTGAGGAAGCGGCGCTGCCCAGGGGCCCTCTAGCTTCCTTGGTCGTTGTGTCACATATTGCATACGTCCAGCAATCCCTTACTTTACTGTGATTGGTGGACTCAACTGTAAATCCACCAAATGACAGCCAATAGGAAAACAGAGCAGTCAGTCAGCACAACACCCCAACTTATGTTTTCCTATTGGATATTTATTCTCCTTTACATTGTTCATGATGAGATGATACTGGAAATGCGATGGGCAGAGTATTTATTTATATCTCCCATTTTTCTTAATAGTGCAAAAACAACTGGTCCCAGGGGCCCTACAGGGACATTGTCCACTGGGGCCCTTACATTTGTCCTACCAGGTGCAGAGCCCCCTGTGGCTCTCCCAGGGATGTAGGTGCCCCCAGGGGCCTCTCCGAAAATCGACTGCTCCCCCACTGCCCCTCCCAAGAGCGACTGTGCCCCCAGGGTCCGTGCCAGGGGCCATCCTATGGGCGGTGGTGCCCCCTGGAGCCCTCCCAAATGAGGCGGCTCCCCCAGAGGCACTCCCAGGGTCGTCAGTGCCCTTAGGGGCCTCTCGCAAGAGTGACTGCGCCCCCAGGGGCCCTGCCAGGAGCAGTGGCTCCCCCAGGGGCCCTTACAGAGGCGGTGGTGCTCGCAGGGGACCTAAAAAGGACCTGAGAGGTCTGCAGGGCTTCTAAGGGCGGCTGTGGCCCTAGGGGCCCCCAAAGGCGGCAGCGCCTCCAGCGGCCCTCCTTAGGAGTAGTGGCGCCTCTTGGGACCCTGCCTGGGGCGGTGGTGCCCCCAGGGACCCTCCCAAGGGCGGGGCCGCTACCACGGGCCCAATGAGGGTCAGCTGTGGACCTCAGAGGGGCAGTAACGAGATCTGGGACCCTCTCATGGGCAGCAAAGGCTCTTCCTGGGACAGCGGAGCCCCCAGGGGCCTACCCAGGGGCTGCAGCGCTCCTTGAGGAAGCGGCGCTGCCCAGGGGCCCTCTAGCTTCCTTGGTCGTTGTGTCACATATTGCATACGTCCAGCAATCCCTTACTTTACTGTGATTGGTGGACTCAACTGTAAATCCACCAAATGACAGCCAATAGGAAAACAGAGCAGTCAGTCAGCACAACACCCCAACTTATGTTTTCCTATTGGATATTTATTCTCCTTACATTGTTCATGATGAGATGATACTGGAAATGCGATGGGCAGAGTATTTATTTATATCTCCCATTTTTCTTAATAGTGCAAAAACAACTGGTCCCAGGGGCCCTACAGGGACATTGTCCACTGGGGCCCTTACATTTGTCCTACCAGGTGCAGAGCCCCCTGTGGCTCTCCCAGGGATGTAGGTGCCCCCAGGGGCCTCTCCGAAAATCGACTGCTCCCCCACTGCCCCTCACAAGAGCGACTGTGCCCCCAGGGTCCATGCCAGGGGCCATCCTATGGGCGGTGGTGCCCCATGGAGCCCTCCCAAATGAGGCGGCTCCCCCAGAGGCACTCCCAGGGTCGTCAGTGCCCTTAGGGGCCTCTCGCAAGAGTGACTGCGCCCCCAGGGGCCCTGCCAGGAGCAGTGGCTCCCCCAGGGGCCCTGCCAGGAGCAGTGGCTCCCCCAGGGGCCCTTACAGAGGCGGTGGTGCTCGCAGGGGACCTAAAAAGGACCTGAGAGGTCTGCAGGGCTTCTAAGGGCGGCTGTGGCCCTAGGGGCCCCCAAAGGCGGCAGCGCCTCCAGCGGCCCTCCTTAGGAGTAGTGGCGCCTCTTGGGACCCTGCCTGGGGCGGTGGTGCCCCCAGGGACCCTCCCAAGGGCGGGGCCGCTACCACGGGCCCAATGAGGGTCAGCTGCGGACCTCAGAGGGGCAGTAACGAGATCTGGGACCCTCTCATGGGCAGCAAAGGCTCTTCCTGGGACAGCGGAGCCCCCAGGGGCCTACCCAGGGGCTGCAGCGCTCCTTGAGGAAGCGGCGCTGCCCAGGGGCCCTCTAGCTTCCTTGGTCGTTGTGTCACATATTGCATACGTCCAGCAATCCTTTACTTTACTGTGATTGGTGGACTCAACTGTAAATCCACCAAATGACAGCCAATAGGAAAACAGAGCAGTCAGTCAGCACAACACCCCAACTTATGTTTTCCTATTGGATATTTATTCTCCTTTACATTGTTCATGATGAGATGATACTGGAAATGCGATGGGCAGGGTATTTATTTATATCTCCCATTTTTCTTAATAGTGCAAAAACAACTGGTCCCAGGGGCCCTACAGGGACATTGTCCACTGGGGCCCTTACATTTGTCCTACCAGGTGCAGAGCCCCCTGTGGCTCTCCCAGGGATGTAGGTGCCCCCAGGGGCCTCTCCGAAAATCGACTGCTCCCCCACTGCCCCTCACAAGAGCGACTGTGCCCCCAGGGTCCATGCCAGGGGCCATCCTATGGGCGGTGGTGCCCCCTGGAGCCCTCCCAAATGAGGCGGCTCCCCCAGAGGCACTCCCAGGGTCGTCAGTGCCCTTAGGGGCCTCTCGCAAGAGTGACTGCGCCCCCAGGGGCCCTGCCAGGAGCAGTGGCTCCCCCAGGGGCCCTTACAGAGGCGGTGGTGCTCGCAGGGGACCTAAAAAGGACCTGAGAGGTCTGCAGGCCTTCTAAGGGCGGCTGTGGCCCTAGGGGCCCCCAAAGACGGCAGCGCCTCCAGCGGCCCTCCTTAGGAGTAGTGGCGCCTCTTGGGACCCTGCCTGGGGCGGTGGTGCCCCCAGGGACCCTCCCAAGGGCGGGGCCGCTACCACGGGCCCAATAAGGGTCAGCTGCGGACCTCAGAGGGGCAGTAACGAGACCTGGGACCCTCTCATGGGCAGCAAAGGCTCTTCCTGGGACAGTGGAGCCCCCAGGGGCCTACCCAGGGGCTGCAGCGCTCCTTGAGGAAGCGGCGCTGCCCAGGGGCCCTCTAGCTTCCTTGGTCGTTGTGTCACATATTGCATACGTCCACCAATCCCTTACTTTACTCTGAGTGGTGGACTCAACTGTAAATCCACCAAATAACAGCCAATAGGAGAACAGAGCAGTCAGTCAGCATAACACCCCAACTTATGTTTTCCTGTTGGATATTTATTCTCCTTTACATTGTTCAAGATGCAATGATTCTGGAAATGCGATGGGCAGGATATTTATTTATATCTCCCATTTTTCTTAATAGTGCAAAAACAACTGGTGCCAGGGGCCCTAAAGGGACATTGTCCACCGGGGCCCTTACATTTGTCGTACCAGGTGCAGAGCCCCCTGTGGCTCTCCTAGGGATGTTAGTGCCCCCAGGGGCCCCTCCGAAAATCAACTGCGCCCCCACGACCCCTCCCAAGAGCGACTGTGCCCCCAGGGGCCGTGCCAGGGGCCATCCTATGGGCGCTGGTGCCCCCTGGAGCCCTCCCAAATGAGGCGGCTCCCCCAGAGGCCCTTCCAGGGTCGTCGTTGCCCTTAGGGGCCCCTCGCAAGAGTGAATGCGCCCCCAGGGGCCCTGCCAGGGGCAGTGGCTCCCCCAGGGGTCCTTACAGGGGCGGTGGTGCTCGCAGGGGACGTAAAAAAGACCTCAGCGCCTGCAGGGCTTCTAAGGGCCTCCCAAACGCGGCAGCACCCCCAGCGGCCCTCCTTAGGAGTGGGGGCGCCCCTTGGGACCCTGCCTTGGGCGGTGGTGCCACCAGGGACCTTCCCAAGGGCGGGGCCGCTACCACGGGCCCTACCAGGGTCGGCTGTGGACCTCAGAGGGGCAGTAACGCCACCTGGGACCCTCTTAAGGGTACCAAAGGCCCTTCCTGGGACAGCAGAGCCCTCAGGGGCTTCAGCGCTCCTAGGGGAAACGGCGCTGCCCAGGGGCCCTCTAGATTCGTTGGTCGTTGTGTTGTACATATTGCATGCATCCAGCAATCCCTTACTTTACTGTGATCGGTGGACTCGACTGTAAATCCACCAAATAACAGCCAATAGGAGAACAGAGCTGTCAGTCAGCACAACACCCCAACTTATGTTTTCCTATTGGATATGTATTCTCCTCTACATTGTTCATGATGTGATGATTCTGGAAATGCGATGGGCGGGGTATTTATTTATATCTCCCATTTTTCTTAATAGTGCAAAAATAACTGGACCGAGAGGCCCTACAGGGATATTGTCCACCGGGGCCCTTACATTTGTCCTTCTAGGTGCAGAGCCCCCTATGGCTCTCCCAGGGATGTTGGTGCCCCCAGGGGCCCCTCCGAAAATCGACTGCGCCCCCACGACCCCTCCCAAGAGCGACTATGCCCCCAGGGGCCATGCCATGGGCCATCCTATGGGCGGTGGTGCCCCCTGGAGCCATCTAAAATGCGGCGGCTCCCCCAGAGGCCCTCCCAAGATCGTCGGTGCCCTTAGGGGCCCCTCGCAAGAGTGACTGCGCCCCCAGGGGCCCTTACAGAGGCGGTGGTGCTCGCAGGAGACCTAAAAAGAGCCTCAGCGCCTGCAAGGCTTCTCCTAAGGGCAACTGTGGCCCTAGGGGCCTCCCAAAGGCAGCGGCGCCCCCAGTAGGCCCTCCTTAGGAATGTTGGCGCCCCTTGGGACACTGCCTGGGGCGGTGGTGCCCACAGGGACCGTCCCGAGGGCGGGCCGCTACCACGGGCCTGATCAGGGTCAACTGCACCCCCAGGAGACCTCAGGGGGGCAGTGACGCCACCTGGGACCCTCTCAGGGGCAGCAGAGGCCCTTCCTAGGACAGAGGAGCCCCCAGGGGCCTATCCAGGAGCTGTAGCGCTCTTAGGGGAAGCGGAGCTGCCCAGGGGTCCTCTAGCTTCCTCGGTCGTTGTGTCGTACATATTGCATACGTCCAGCAATCCCTTACTTTACTGTGATTGGTGGGCTAAACTGTAAGTCCACCAAATAACAGCCAATAGGAGAACAGAGCAGCAGTCAGCACAACACCCCAACTTATGTTTTCCTTTTGGATATTTATTCTCCTCTACATTGTTCATGATGCAATGGGCGAGGAATTTATTTATATCTCCCATTTTTCTTAATAGTGCAAAAACAACTGGTCCCAGGGGCCCTACAGGGACATTGTCCACCGGGGCCCTTACATTTATCCTACCAGGTGCAGAACCCTCTGGGGCTCTCCCAGGGATGTTTGTTTACCCAGGGGCCCCTCCGAAAATCAACTGCGCCCCCACAACCCCTCCCAAGAGCGACTGTGCCCCCAGGGGCCGTGCCAGGGGCCATCCTATGGGCGGTGGTGCCCCCTGGAGCCCTCCCAAATGAGGCGGCTCCCCCAGAGGCCCTCCCAGGGTCGTCGTTGCCCTTAGGGGCCCCTCGCAAGAGTGACTGCGCCCCCAGTGGCCCTGCCAGGGGCAGTGGCTCCCCCAGGGGTCCTTACAGAGGCGGTGGTGCTCGCAGGGGACGTAAAAAAGACCTCAGCGCCTGCAGGGCTTCTAAGGGCCTCCCAAAGGCGGCAGCACCCCCAGCGGCCCTCCTTAGGAGTGGTGGCGCCCCTTGGGACCCTGCCTGGGGCGGTGGTGCCACCAGGGACCCTCCCAAGGGCGGGGCCGTTACCACGTGCCCTACCAGGGTCAGCTGCACCCCCCAGGGGACCTCAGAGGGGCAGTAACGCCACCTGGGACCCTCTCAGGGGCAGCAAAGGCCCTTCCTGGGACAGCGGAGCCCCCAGGGGCTGCAGCGCTCCTAGGGGAAGCGGCGCTGCCCAGGGGCCCTCTAGCTTCCTTGGTCGTTGTGTTGTACATATTGCATACGTCCAGCAATCCCTTACTTTACTGTGATTGGTGGACTCAACTGTAAATCCACCAAATGACAGCCAATAGGAAAACAGAGCAGTCAGTCAGCACAACACCCCAACTTATGTTTTCCTATTGGATATTTATTCTCCTTTACATTGTTCATGATGAGATGATACTGGTAATGCGATGGGCAGGGTATTTATTTATATCTCCCATTTTTCTTAATAGTGCAAAAACAACTGGTCCCAGGGGCCCTACAGGGACATTGTCCACTGGGGCCCTTACATTTGTCCTACCAGGTGCAGAGCCCCCTGTGGCTCTCCCAGGGATGTTGGTGCCCCCAGGGGCCTCTCCGAAAATCGACTGCTCCCCCACTGCCCCTCCCAAGAGCGACTGTGCCCCCAGGGTCCGTGCCAGGGGCCATCCTATGGGCGGTGGTGCCCCCTGGAGCCCTCCCAAATGAGGCGGTTCCCCCAGAGGCACTCCCAGGGTCGTCAGTGGCCTTAGGGGCCTCTCGCAAGAGTGACTGCGCCCCCAGGGCCCTGCCAGGAGCAGTGGCTCCCCCAGGGGCCCTTACAGAGGCGGTGGTGCTCGCAGGGGACCTAAAAAGGACCTCAGAGGTCTGCAGGGCTTCTAAGGGCGGCTGTGGCCCTAGGGGCCCCCAAAGGCGGCAGCGCCTCCAGCGGCCCTCCTTAGGAGTAGTGGCGCCTCTTGGGACCCTGCCTGGGGCGGTGGTGCCCCCAGGGACCCTCCCAAGGGCGGGGCCGCTACCACGGGCCCTACCAGGGTCAGCTGTGGACCTCAGAGGGGCAGCAATGCCACCTGGGACCCTCTCAGGGGCAGCAAAGGCCCTTCCTGGGACAGCGGGGCCCCCAGGGGCCTACCCAGGAGCTGCAGCGCTCCTTGGGGAAGCGGCGCTGCCCAGGGGCCCTCTAGCTTCCTTGGTCGTTGTGTTGTACATATTGCATACGTCCAGCAATCCCTTACTTTACTGTGATCGGTGGACTCGACTGTAAATCCACCAAATAACAGCCAATAGGAGAACAGAGCAGTCAGTCAGCACAACACCCCAACTTATGTTTTCCTGTTGGATATTTATTCTCCTTAACATTGTTCATGATGAGATGATACTGGAAATGCAATGGGCGGGGTTTTTATTTATATCTCCCATTTTTCTTAATAGTGCAAAAACAACTGGTCCCAGGGGCCCTACAGGGACATTGTCCACCGGGGCCATTACATTTCTCCTACCAGGTGCAGAGCCCCCTGTGGCTCTCCCAGGGATGTTGGTGCCCCCAGGGGCCCCTCCGAAAAGCGACTGTGCCCCCACGGCCCCTCCCAAGAGTGACTGCAATTAGTTAGTGTTCTTGAAGGTATGAATGAATAATCACGAGAACGCTTGAACTTTTTAATGGTCTTGTTAGTAGTGGTGACCTTCACACACACATACACACACTAATATTGTATGTTGTTAGATGTATTTTCACTATTGAATACTAAGTTGTGTTGTACTGAAGACATTTTTGGAAGTTCATTTTTATCAATTCTTTTCATTAACGTATTCATGACTACATCAATACATGAAAGATACCAGTTTGTGATACGTGATTTTCCACTAGATATTATGTTCGTGCTGTCCGTCAAGCATCATCCAGATTAACACAGCTTCTCAGATATATAACATCCACAGTAACACAGCTTCTGTAACCATATAACATCCACAGCAAAAACTTTTGTAGCCATTTAACATCCACAGTAACACAGCTTCTGTAGATATATAAAATCCACAGTAACACAACTTCTGTATTCATATAACGTCCACAGTAACACAGCTTCTGTAGCCATATAACATCAACAGTAACATAGCTTCTGTTGCTATATAAATTCCAGCTACACAGCTTTTGTAATTATATAACAGATATACCGCTTTTGTACCCAGATAACATCCAGTTACCCAGCTTCTGTTGCTATATAACATCTACAGTTACACAGCTTATGTAGCTATATAACATCCACAGTACTGCAATATTTGTAAGGCTGAGAGCCATATTAGTAAAGGTAGGTAAAAGCGTCTCTGCACAATGGGATCTGCGCCTCAAGGCGGACAGAGGGAGAAGGGAACAAGCGCCCACGGACCCCAATCGTAACCTCTCTCGCTCATAGAGACTCCTTATTTTCCGTTTCTTAGCTAATAGGAGTCCATGTTTCCACAAAAATGTCATAAGAATGTTATGTGATAACACTTGAACCCATTGTTTTTATTTTCTGACTGGCAGAAAGGAGGGAGTTATGTTCCTGTGTGACAAGCTTTATATCACACCAATAGTGGGGAGGGGGGGGGGGACGAGGGCGAGTGGTGCGTCTTAGTAGGAGGCTTGTAGCACTAAATGAGGGGAAGTACCTGCATTTTTTTTTAATATATTTTGGCGCTTGGCCCCCCGGTCGAAATATTGGTAATACCTAGTACTGTTTGCTTTTATGCAAACAGTAGTGATCTTTGACCTTTCTGGTGGGGTCTATTATTGCTGCCATGTAATGAAAATTATACCTCTACAATGCAATTTTTACTACAGTATAAACAATCGTTTTAATTAATGACTTTAATATCTGCGAACCCAGCTTTAAGAACTCTGCACACTGCCACTTGAATGAACTCAATATCTTTATTGGTTCAAAAGTTACGTCATTTTTTTATTTTCCAACTGTAAGAAGCGTTAAAGTTTTAAATTTTTTTTATCTGATGGTCAGTATTAATCAAGTTTTAAATGGCTTCACTTGCAGCCATGTTTTTGCCTCCCACCACTTTTTTGTGGTGTAATTGTGTGGTTTAACTTCAAACCCACATGCCAGACACTTTAATTTTATTGTATTTTTTCTTTATTTTTGCATTTCCCAACCCAGGTAGATACAACAATGAAATAACTCAATATTTTATATACCGAAGAAAACCACAAATTGCAGATGTAACCTATTTATTTACAAATGCTTACTTAGAGTACTTTATATATACTTACCACGAATCCCAGCGTGTTCGAGTCATAATAACTGGATAGGAAAACAATTTTTTTCTTGGTGAAAATATGCATGTATTTATACTTACAAACAGTATAAGTATGTACAATGGGTCGTGTACTACTGAACTAAAGTAATAAGAGAGAATGGAGGACAGGAGAGGGAGGGGCAAATTTGCCATAAATGTTGGTGCAAGTGGTGAAGATTGTACTTTGGGGAAATCACTGAGATCTGTTACAATGCCACACATCTTTGATTTAGTAAAATCTTAATTAACCAAAGGTCTGTCTAACAATAAATAAAGCATATAAAAGATAAGTATTAAAAGTATTTGATTAGATAATTGAAAATGTGAATATTACAGCTTAAAGAAAAGTACCAAGGGAACAATTAGAAAACATGCACTTAAGTTGATGTTTTTGTTGCTCAAGGAAGACTGAATGGATACCAAGGGCCGAGGAAATCGTTATACTGTACTGAGCACTACTAATCATCCCCGACCCACAACATTGCGTAAAACTGTGGCCTGACCAGTGTCATTAATACATACTGTAGTTTGCTAACAAGTGATATAAAAGAGCAAGAAAAAATTATAGTTTGGATATCTGACTAGGCTAAATACAAAACAAAGACAGGAACACAATGTACATGGGAAAAATTGTGTTTAATTTACCCATAAAATTATCATACTGGATAAACAAGTAAATATAAAATTATTCTGGATGAATAAGAAATATTACTAAAAATATTTACATAAGACAATAATTGATGAGTCACTTCCCTTACAAATCACTCTTTATAAATTTTTATAGGAATTTGTCAGAACATTTATATGGTTTGGTATTAAAATAATTATTTGATCAAGATTTCAATAACTTTCATTGCATGAGAATGACATGTTTCAAGGACTGCCATAGCATATAGGTTGTACTTTATCAACAACTCTGAACTATAAAAATCAACTACAAAAATCACACACCTCAATTGAAAGATATACAAAACGTTCACACTGGGAATACATCCCGATAAAATAACTTCCCATGTAAAATATAACTTGTGCACAGACGAGTTCTAATATATATACAAAAGTTTGTGTGCATGAGAATGTTATAGGTTAATAATTTTGCATATGGACATTCCAAGAAACCAGGGAGGATACCCATTAGCTTCCCTGCTGCTCTCTGTAACTATAAGTCGCGCCACACAATCGCAACCTCTTAATATTTAGTAATATCCACTTCTGCAGATACTATTTTATTAACTATACACTATACATTATTACCCACCAAGTGGAAGTAGCAGGGCCCACTTGAAGGAGGGTGGGAGAATTTGCAAAAGGCCTCATATCACTGCAAAATACAGCATCAGACATTATTCGCCAATATCACACTACTGTATTGTTCAGTCATCACATTCTTCGTTCCAAGAATAACTGTCCATTCAGTAAATAAATTATTCTTATTCTGGAGTAGTCACCGAAGATTCATCTTTATATCAAATAGTTTAGTTACTGATCTTTGCCGTATGCCACTCCAAAACAATATATAAATTATATTTTCAAATATATCTCGACACGTCATGGTCACCATAATGTAAACATTGAAGGGGTCAGTCACACTGTCCCGATATTTTACTTCAGGTATAGCCAAGGTGACAAAAAAAATTTATCTTAACAAAAGGCCATTAACATTAGTCTTGTAGAGGCCCGTTTCACCACACAAAATTCATTTAATAAATTATGAACCTAGTTTCACTTGTGCACAATCACCAATGGGCCGCTTCCAGCTTGGTGCCGAGTAATTTTCTTTTATATTATTAATTTAACGATATATCTGGAACCAAGGTAAGGAAAGTAATATTGGGGTGACGGTCTGCCTACAACGGGAGGTTGACAGGCTTCTGTAAGTGTATATGATGTGAATCTAGGAACCGTTTGCACAGGTGAGTGAAGTGTGGTGAAGTCCACTGCTGCAGTAATAGTCGGCACTCAGACTCGAGGCTCAGCTCCAGCTTGGTAACCAGGTGATGGTTCATCAACGCCTTGGTCGCCTCCATACTCTGCACAAAGACAATGTACATAATTAGAGAAATAAATACAAGACATGTGAGTGTACAAGATTACAAAATGAATCAGAACCTTGGTAATTGTAGGGCATACAAAAGCAACCAAACTTAACAAAATTCCCCCCATTAACCAAGTCTATTATAACCAAACTAACAACCGACCTAATTAACCTTGACCTAACCATCCCTATACATATCCAACCAAGAAACATGGGTAAAACTTCAAACACCAATACCATTATAACAATCAGACATGCTGCGTTGAGCCAAGGCACCTATTTCTACTCCTACTCATTTCCAAGGCACCTATTTCTACTCCTACTCATTTCCATTCACTTGTCCTTACACTAAACCTTTTTCATCCCTGTCACTTGGGATTTATGTATGTAATGCTATTAAGCCCAACAGGCCCTGTCATCAAACCTAACTGGGGCGAAAGACTATACACTCAAGTCATGATGCCAACTACACGTAATGGGTGGACCCGTCAAAATAACCAGTCGATCCCCTTTTCACACGATTTGCTCTCAAATTTACATTGTAAATAACCCAACTCAACAATGTTAACCGGAACAAACACACACACACACACATATACATATACTGTATATATATATATATATATATATATATATATATATATATATATATATATATATATATATATATATATATATATATATATATATATATATATATATATATATATATATATATATATATATATATATATATATATATATACAATATATATATATATATATATATATATATATATATATATATATATATATATATATATATATATATATATATATAAATATATATATATATATATATATATATATATATATATATATATATATATATATATATATATATATATATATATATATATATATATATATATATAAACCAGTGGAGAAAAAAAACGCTTACGTGAAGCTTGAACTAATATTTTAAGAAACAAATTAAATAGACTAGACTAAAATTATAAAAATAAAACAAATAGGATAAATTTTGTATCTTTCGTCGCATAGATTAAAAACAAAATAAAGAATTATCATTAATACATCACGAAAATTTATGGTACCGGTAACCATTCAAGTGGCCTCGAAAAATCATTAAGTTTTCTGGCACTAAATTATTATACTGTATGTAAAATACTCAATTCCTTCACATTATCTTCCATCTCTGACCTTTGTCTTTCATTTGCTCGTAATCAATTGTTCGCTTTTACCTCAAGCTTTCCCTTATAACTTTACCCTACTACCCCTCACCTACATAGCCAAAGTAGCCAAGTAAAATCCCGACCGAAAAACAGCTCAGACAGTGTCTTCCCGCTGTAGGCATTACGGTCGATCCCGCGGCCACTGACGCTTGTATAGTGGACCGTGGTGGATTTTTAACCTTGGAGGCCTCCCGTCCAACACAAGGAGGGCGCTGCGCGACCCACATTCCTCGCCAGCTGCCAACACTCCTCCTTCCCTCCCACTTACACCCTCGCCCAAGACACTCGCGTACACACGTTCGTTTACATCCAACCATCCGAACACGAAGATATCCACATGCACGCGCTCATGTGTCCGAATACGTTACATTCAAAAGGAACGGCAAAATAAGAGACAAACGTATGCTTTTTCTTTTCATATATGAATACATAATATTCTAACAAAATATTTCGTGGTCGGCAGTGGTACTTAATCAGTCTGGCGAGCTCCAGTTTTATCTACTTCCAGCTACTTTCTCGGTGCTTGACTACAATTGGCTGTTACCCAAGACTACAACAAACGCAGAAATTGTTGTCTGGCTGATGGTGTAAATGTAGGAATTTTTTGTTGTTACTGATAAGTAACTGCGTAAATTGTGTATGCGTGTCAATGTGATACTAGTGACAAATCACTGTCAAACCGGGATAATATAAATACATCCTAAACCTAAGGTCTGTTCATGGTACAACACTCAGTGGAAGCGGGAGACTCGCTCACAAGATAAGAGTGCAGTGAACACTTGGATTTACTCTAACGTGAACCACTCATTGCAACCTGTACGACAAACTTCACTGTTGCTCGTCTGTGCTTTTCCAGCAAGATGCTGACCTATGCCAATAACCTGCAACACGCCTTGGGTGTAGTGCTGTACGTACTCAACTCTCATTAACTTCCACACCCATCACCAAACTGTAGGACTCGGGCGATCGACCTCAGTATTAACTCTATCTTTCTAACTACATATCCCATACGAACAAGTCAACCCTTCACTCCCCAAAAATAGTATCTCGGCCTTCTAAAATTGTTGGCGAGGGGTGAGACCACGACGAAACATGGCCATGCAAATCGACTTGACCCTCCACCTCCGTTAAAAGCATCTAAAGCTTGATAGTTTATTTGTAAATAATGGGGAAGCCAACATTTAATTTTGGGTTTCACTGTTGATAGACTACTGCTCCTATCTCGGACTTAACACCTCCGCGTGCAGGGGTGACCAATGGAAACAGCCAGAATGGATCAGTGCATCGCCAAATCCATCCATACCAATAAGAATGTTAAACCAAGACGACCCACTCACTGTGAGACTATTTAAACCTAGACAAGACTCCAACAGTACACGTGAAAAGGGCGGGGGAGTGAATGGTGCGCTTGGCAAAGAGAGGCCGGAGCCACAATTCGACTACGCTTGTTTAAACAAACACCGCTTGCCCCCCACACCGCAAACCATATAAACACCCCACCCCTTACGCGTCCAGAGTGTTTACCAAAACTTTATAACGTTTTATTATTACGTTTCAAAAGACACAAGGTAATTGTGTGTACAATCTGCTCTCCTTAGTCAAAATATTTAACAGCCCCAGAACAAGATTCGTATGTCACGGCAGTGTTTGCACAAGCGGGCTACGTGATAAAATTAGTTCTCACTAATGGGTGATAATAATATACGACAGCAGTAAGACAATACAAACACATATGTGATAATTGAAGATGGGTAGGAATATCCCCAAAATTGCGCAGACATCCTTGACATTGTGGGAACTTGCCAATGGGGCGATCTTCATCAATAACACATAACTCTGAATTTTATACTACTGTATGAGACAAATCGTGTGCATTTTTTTGGCTGATCAACTGTGGAAGTTTCGCTTTATTTTTTTTTTTTTAACAAACGAATACACAACCAAAACAACGATTCGAAAATATACGGTTATATGTTTGGTGTATTTTCTGTGCTGAATAAAATCGTTTGGCGGTAAACAAATAAAATATTAAAAGTGACGTCCCCGTGGTGAGGAGGTTAGATTATATATATATATATATATATATATATATATATATATATATATATATATATATATATATATATATATATATATATATATATATATATATATAATCTATACGGGGATTAGCCCACCCAGGCACAGATCACTGACCCACATCGAGGCCTGGGGGGCGAAAATTTAATATTATTAATAAATCATAGTAAATAAAATATATAAAAATAAAAAATTAAAAATATAATAATTCATAGTAAATAAAATTAATAAAAAACACAAAATAATAAAATACTGATAACAATAATAATAAAGAACCACAGAAATACAAAAATGAAATAAAATCAATATTGCGAAACGATATGTATGTTGTGTTGTCAAAGTAAGAGAAACAATTGAGACCCTGCAATTGTGTGTTAATGAGGCAGAAAGTCAAATCGGCAACCAGGTACTTGGTCACAATTTTCGTGGTGCCATATGGCAGCAGGGTCTACCATTAGACAACACATTATGCTTCCAATATCTTCCCAGGTGGTAATACCTCCCTGTTTGATAGCTGCCTACTACATAACCTTAGGCCACTGACGAAGACAAGTGCACCCCAAAACAATGTTGCCCGTCTCTCCCATCTCAACATCACTGCAATACACGATGACTATCTCGCCCACTACTCGATCAATGTAAGGTTAATAGATACGCAATAAAACAGTGACAACGGGTATGAGACAAGAACAATGTTTCCCCGAGTTGTTTTCCGCATTATTCACACACACACACACACATATAAACGTGAAACATCCTCATTCGTTCAGCTAGTTTCCCTCCCCTACGTCATCAAACCGGCAATCACGCGATTGGCTATTACTGTCCACTGCCAGTCTTGTCTTGTAATGTCATAAGAACAAAAATAGAAGCAAAATGATAGAATAATTACACACCAAGTCTACACTGGCTATTCGAATAACATGATTACTGCACGATAAAAATTTTACGCGACTTTAAAGTACAGTTACAAATAAATTACCAATGTCAGTCTCGAACTGTAGTTCAATACAAATTGTAGCTCGACTTTTTTTTTTATTCGATCGGTTTTGTTTGCTAACTACGGCATCTTTCCACCCCCTAATACTTAAGGTTAACCACCAAGCCTCCCTGCTACTTCTAGAGCGCTGTATGACAGATCCCCCCCCCCTTCTTCTTGTAGGGTGGGTAACCCCCCCCCCCCCCCACACGGCTATCCCCAGTAGTAGTGGCAGTGAGCCCAGGAATGGAGGCAACGGTAGTGACTTGGCTCAGGCAGTGTGTAGACGTGAGCTACACAGCCGGGCTTGTGGAGCTGCGGCGGCGGCACCAGGGCTTGGTGTGTACACCATTACTAGTACCTCGCTCAACCTACCCAGTGAAACCTTTCTATTGCTTTAACGAATTTTATATAAATGTGAGACCTCGTTACTGCCTACAGTATTTTTATTTTACTTCTAATTTCAATTATGTGTGGTGATGTTAACGTCTTATATAGCGAGAACAAGTGTTACCTAAGTGAAGCTGAAATTCGTGTTTGATTAAAAAGTTACGGGAACGGTGGCAACCCTGATGTAGGGACAAGACAAAATTTCAAATGATGATGATCCTGACAGCACTGTGGCATATGCAGGTGGACAGAGCTACACGAAGTAAAAGACCTGAAGAAAAACTCAAAAATTACAAATTCTTTTTGTCTTTGGGTATGACGCGAACAAACATCAAGTTATATCCCCCTTGTGTTAGTAGAAGTAACACGAATGTCACAAGTGGACCCCCACCTCCCCCCAAGTATATCATCTACAATTCAAAGACCAATTACTGTTTATGTATTCATTCTGCATGTGTTCAGCAATGAGACAGGCAAGGAAAGGCAGTAGTGTGATAGTGTGTGGTGTTGACACGGGTGGGCGGCGTAAGGGAAAGTCAGTCTGTTGAGCGTGGTAAGCGAGTTGGCAAAGTGTTCCTTGCAGTTACGGTGGTCCCAGTCTGGCTAACCCGCGGCACCCCTCGTCCATCATCCTCACCACTCAACAAACCAAACATGCACGTCAATTCTTTCACGAATATGTTTACGACTACAGTATAATGTTTTGTGTACACCATCTGGGCCGTACTACTGCCAAGCCCTGACACCCTGACACAAGAGAAAGCCATTAACATTTATATTATAAAATGAAGCATACTAACTTAAAACTATTCAAGACAACTTCCCAGAAAACACATTGCAAATTATAAGACATCCCATTTCCTGCTCGTCCATTAAGTGTGCTTCTCTATTCTACATATATTGAGTAACAATAACAAAATAATAATTACAGTAATTACATTAAGTTAAAATGAACCATAACCCTATGAATCACCAAGCGTAAGGAGAACCTTTTAGTGTACATCCAACCCTTAAGTGAGTACCTTAAGTAAGTGTGTTACGAGAGGATCAAGAGGAAAGACGACTGCACTTACATGATCATTTGTTAAGTAGGCTAAGTGTACCAAGGCAACGAAAATAACTTGTATTTGCCGTGTCACTCACCCACCCACCCTCCCTCCACTCTGCCAACTGGGATTCCCGTACCTCACTTTGTCTACCCCCCCCCCCCAATCACTACAAACGCCCTCCACCACCACACATCACCTACCCCTCACCATCAACTGCACCACATGTCCTCATCCCCACCTTCCACTACACGATGATATTAAAAAAGGAGGAATAAATAGAAGTGGTGATAGGGTGTGAGTTGTGGTTGAAACAGACAAATAGGGGTGGGGTGTCAGGTGCAGAGTCAGGGAGAAAATATGCATCTAGTCTTCTTGTTAGTTGAAGTTAAGGAATAAATAATAGGTGGAAAATATATATATGTAGTTGCTGCTCTAGACACGGATATCCAACTATTAATATTCTTCCACAGGTATGTGTTGTGAGTCGACGGTGACAATAGTTCTTCAGAATAACATAGCAGCGTGTCCCCTGTTCACTCCCTCCCTTAAAAGAGGAGTGTCAAAGGTACCATGGTGGTGGCTGAAAGGGCAAGGGTGGCAGCAGCGGGGGTACTAGTGACACTGACGGTGGTGTTAGTAACACTGGCAGCAGTCAATGCAACACCAGCCTCCACCAGTAGTGACCACAGTTCCAGTAATCTGCTCAAGCACCTCACATTCCTCTACAAAGACACCTATGTCCTCTACGGCAATGGGGTAATGATTTTTTCCTTAATCATTTCAAAATTTACTAATTAAATCAATACAATGTATTTGTATTCAATGCATTACTATATACTGTATATATTTATTTTTTTATAAAATACACTTCCTTATTTATTCTTCAAATATATGCAGTGTACAGTGGTCTAATCAAATTTGATATAGGCTTAAAGAGAGCTAATAGGTAGGAGACGACACTGCTGGGGGGGCTGGCCTTGCCATGTTAGCCAGTTTTTCATTTATTCATTATTATATTCTCGTATGATCAGCCTCTTCGGGTGTAATACTGCATAATACAGTATTAAATATAAAAAAATACATTATATAATTTGACTTCAAAATAAAAGGTGGTGTGGGACTGTATGTTTTGCATTTGTATTTATTTAATCATTATATTCTCGTATGATCACCCTCTAATGGTGTATGTTTCATCATTAAAAACATAAAATATTAAATAATAGAAAAAATACAATATATAAAATTTTAATTTGACTTAAAAAAATAATTGACAGACTGTGCCAAGTGTGACACTGATCTTCTGCCTTGTTACCGGGAGGATTATCATTCCAGTGCTTGAATTATTTTACCTAAAATCGTTTAATCAATTTTGTGGCTGAATGTGTGTTGAACTTATAGCTAACCAACCAATCACAGTGCAACATTATGGTTGAGTCCAATCTATGAGTGGGGGAATAAACTGCTCACTCGCAGGTCCTAGAGGAGGTAAGAGGCCAAAGAGAGGGTTCACTGTCAGCAATTTCAAATGGCTGCGGGAATTTCAAACGCCAAATATTTAAGGGTTTGGACAAAAGTTTCATGACCAGAAAGGTTCCAGACTATCTGAAATTTGGACTTTCGAGGGGTTACTGTAAATTTATATAGTGTATGTGACTCCTGGTAGTTTGGGTGCTTGGGGAGGGGGGGGGGGATGCTCATTGGTTTTCCATTAAAAAATATGCATACCTTATGCTTCCTCACACACACACTATGCTTTATTATTTAAAGATTAAATTTTTATTAGTGTACTTATTAGGTTTTTCCTCTCTCTTAACAATAGCATCCCTGGCCATGTTTGGAGATCTAAAACACAAATTGCATCATTTACAATCTCAGTCTTTTGGCACATGTTGCTTTGGTAACAGGAATTAGTTTTTCCATTTTAGTAAACACTGGGTGAAGCGATCCAGACCAAAACTGCACCCTTAGAGAGCATCTGCCAGCCCATGAGGCTAGTGGGAGGAACATTTGGTTGATAGGGCTGGTCCACTGTTCCAGCATTTCTGCTTATAGGAAGGATGCTCTCAGTGTGAGACATGGCTGAGAGGGACAGGTCAGGCCAGCATGGGAGCGTTTAGTACATCGAAAGATCATGCGAGGGTTAGCTGATCACTATTCATCTTTTAAACATACTGTACGCATGAATGTTTTAATAAGGTCTCTGTAATTATCATGTAAAAAATAAATTTACTGTACTGGACACTTCGGAGACAAATTACCAAGACACTGATAGACTATGTTGAAAATAAAGTACAGTAAATACTGTATAACAGTAATTTTTTGCAAGGAGAATTTGAAAAAGCAAATTAATATTCTAAGAGTGAAAAAAGTAAATAAAAATAATTATGGTCTACAGTTGCAGAGCACATAGTCAGCTGATCCTTAAGCAAATGTATATAACTTCAACTCCCTACACACAGCGACGTAGTGAGCGTGACCTACCAATATGTTCATCACGTGGTGAAGCATGTAATTTGGCACATCGAAGATTCTGGCTAACACCTATTACTGAACGACTATGCCGGTGTGCTGACCGTTCTGAGTGTCCACTACATTTTGGTGGCCTGAATGACACACTATCCCAGCATGTGTCAAACAGGGCACAACTCAAGGTATTAAATTAAATGTGAAGGTTCTATAAACTGTATCTATCTCTAATGTTCCACTCCAGATTATGTTGCCATTATTAAATATACCTCCAACTAACTCAATTCCCCTTATCTTCTCCCTTCCTCCTTTCATTAGCAATCTTCTTACTCATCCAAAATTCACCTTCAACTTTCTTTCAATGCTAACTATACCTGTTAATTTATAATCTTAATTCCGTTCCAGTGTCAGTCAATATAGTCACCAGCAGAGATCACATCTTTCTATTAACATCTGCTTGTGTGTAACTGTTTCCTCATAGTATTGTCTGTCTCACTGTCTCATATTTGCACATTATAATTTTATAAATGCAACAAGATATTCAATGGCATTCCTCTCCTCCCTACCTTGTATATAACTAATTCATATTCAAGCCAGGCTTTCCCATGAGTATGAATGATTTAAAACATGTGATTTAACAATGCAATAAGAGGCGAGTATGTCTAACTGTATGCCAAACAACTAAAAAGTTTCATGTGGATGGCTAAAGACAACAGGGAGTTTTAAAGATGAAGTGTAGTATAAGTGACTGATTATAAAGTGTAATTAACTAGAACTTGCAAGGAGTAGGGGTGGCATTATAAAGAATAATATGATGAGTATGTTGCAACTTGGATTAATTGGAGGGAAAATGAAGGACTGTATTTCTTCGACTAGAAATAGCAATAAGAGAAAATGAAGACAGACCATTTGGCATGTAGGGGATTGGTAATTTAAGAGGTGAATGTGGTGTGCCATTCCACAAGCTAAAGTAATATTCCAAGTGGTGAGATAGATATGACTTGATAAAGAGAAAGAAGTTATGGAAACTTTCGTATGAACGAGCCTTAATAGAAGTATTTTCTATTTATGTATAGCACAGTATTCTTTGCAATCAGAAATGTGGTCACTAAAAAAAGGTTGTTATAGTATGGCCATGGATATTAACATCAGAAGCTGATATAATGGGGTATGTTGCTAAATATAAGTGGAGGATGGAAAGACTACAATACTACAATATATAACAAAACTTACTATGCACAGGTACTACTGTACACTAATAAGATAGATTTGTGTCAGTCAATTATATATAAAAAAAATTATGTGCTGCTGCTGGAGGGATTGGAGAGAAAATCACTAATATTTCGTCAGAGTTTGAGCCTAAAGACACTCCAAAATTTATGGAAAAGGAATCTGAATATGAACTATCCATAACTGTAAAGATGTAACCTAGTGATTGAAGAGAATGGAAGCTCTTTATGTTTATGAATTGGCAATAGACTTTTTGGTTTAAAAAAAAGATGCAATTTCAATATGGCTGCTATGGTCACATATCTAGTCTATTAGACAAGGTATTTTTATCTTTAGTGAATTGGAATACATGTATACAGCTGCTCCCCGACTTACGACCTACTCGATCACCCGTACTTAAGACCAGCCTCAGTAGTACCAAAATTTGGTCAAATTACATATTTTCGAGTCCCAAAGTCAGTACACAGACAAAATTATCGTATGTAATTCACTTTAAAATGGCTGGCAAGCTTAAAAGTGAGTGTTTTGTGGTGCTGAGAAGAAAAAGAGACACCCATTTTAGATTTTCTGTGTATTATTTAAGCATTTCCGAGTCACGACCATTTCGACTTACGACCTGTATTTGGGTCCCTAACCCCGTCGTAAGTCGGGGAGGAGCTGTAATTGTTCAACATTCAGTATTCAATGTTATCATTCTTAATATTACATGAACTTTGATTGAAAAGCAGATGGGGAGAACCCACATGATAAAGTACTTTGACTGCATATACAGTATGATGTACAGCAGTTTATCTATTTCCCTGCATAGAAAACAGCTGATTATGCAGACCAACAAAAGGTTTGCATCCTAAGATTTAGGTAGCCACAAGCAACTGATTTTCTGAGATGCTTCTTACAAGACACAAATGCCCAGCTCTTAACACTATACAGCTCCTCCCCGACTTACGATGGGGTTAGGGACCCAAATCCAGGTCGTAAGTCGAAATGGTTGTAAGTCGAAAATGCTTAAATAATACATAGAAAATCTAAAATGGGTGTGTCTTTTTCTTCTCAGCACCACAAAACTCTCACTTTTAAGCTTGCCAGCCATTTTAAAGTGAATTACAAACGAAAAAATTTTCGGTACACAGCTCAATCACTGACGTTGGGACTCGAAAATACGTAATTTGACAACATTTTGGTACGACTGAGGCGGTTGTATGTCCAGGTAGTCGAAAGTCGGGGAGGAGCTGTAATGTGAATACAGTACACTGTATAATCATATTAATTCTTTTCACTATGGTACAAAGTGAGTAGAAACAAGGGCAATGCAAAGTCTCTAATCTGTTACCATACATACTTTCTAGCTGCCTTACCAGTAATTACAGTACATTTCAATATTTAAAAAAAATTTTCAGTTCTGTGGAAATGTGATGACATTTCTAGAAGAGTGTAAACAAGGAGAGGTAGCATTAAAGCTACACCGCGTTGAGAGGCAAAATCAACCCTTCCCCAGCAGTAGTGTGAGGGAGGGTTTTGACACACACACAACAGTCATGTGCCGATGCCCATGGCCAAATTTGTGGACACTGGTGGACACGAGGACACCCTCACCCACTGAGAAACTCTACTTCTACACTTGTAATGAGGTTAGTCAAGCCTTGCCTTATGCTTTTGATTAACATTTCAGAGAGAAATATTAGTTTCTATGAACTGGATATAATATATTGTACTATAATTAACCTTTACAGTTAACCAAGTGCAAGAGGTGGGAAGAATGCGGCCACATCCGTAATGATACTCTGGAGAGTTATTACATGTGTTCATGCCCAGAACACCATATGTGTGTGTTCAAGGGATCCCAGCCCACTCACATTACAACACAGCTACACTTCCATGGTCATGCATATACTGGAATATGCACACCAAATTGATTACCACATCTTTGTTATTAAAGTCATTCCCTTTGAGCAAAATGAATGAGACATTTCAATTTTGTCATTCATATCAGCACTGATTTTATTTCTTTTTTTGTAAACCAACTTACAAAGATATATTTTAGGTTTATCAGCTCCCTGGGTAACCCTACTATATAGTTAATAAATGAATTTTACATACAATCCATCCCCAAGAGACTGCTCTCGAAGCGGTAATCAATGCATATTTTCTTTTGTTTATAATGCAATGTTGCCAATTTTTTTAATAAAATATGTTCATAAGACACTGGAATTCAATTACCTTTTTATCTCTGGTAATGTGGATAAATATTATAGTGATTATAAAATAACAACATAAAATATATACACACACATATATGCCACGGTTCTCTCAGGTATAAAAAAAAAAAAAAAAAAAATAACAGAAAACATACTTATTAAAAGTTGAGAATTTTGCAATTTCTGCTCATGTCAAGATACGGTATTTCACTTGTTACATTTTGTAATGATATAAAATCCCTGGATTCTATGGCTATGGTAGTCTTTCCAAACATAAAATCTTGGTGCTTTAGATCCCTTGATTCCAAGCAACTTCAAACTGTGGCCAGTGTCCTGAAACCCTCCTTGGAAAAGTCAAGGAGTATTGTCTGCAACAAGGGATTGCATTCAAGATTTCTTTATTTTTGGATAATGCTCCGGGACACCCACCACACCTGGACGACTTGCACCCTGATGTTAAGGTACAGTAAAAGTCCAAAAATCCGGATGCCAGAAATCCGGACCACCTGAGAATCCGGACTTTTCAAAAACTATTTTTTTTTTTTTTTAGTGTGCTTTTGTGTATGTGCGCATGCGTGAGCGCCACAGCTGCACAGCGACAACAGGCGACCTCGTGGTCGCCACTTTAAAACGAGCAATCAAACTGACAACATACCGTATATACTCGTCTATAACCTCCCCTCGTTTATAGGTCGACCCTGATTTTTTGACCAAGAAATCGTTAATTCATGATATTCCTCGTTTATAGTTCGACCCACGTTTTTGAGGGTAATGGAACAACAAAACCTTCAGTAAAAACACTACATCCTATAAACCGAGGCTCGCCGTGCCTGAAACACGAGTGCCGAAGGCAAATTGTTTACCATTTATTATTACGACACTTTACACTGAAACGCGGGTAGTTTCAACAAAAATATTGTATATTTCCATTCAAATATTTATTCAAGTCAATTAGGAGGGAATATTATTGTAATACAGTTTCTTAACTAAACCATTCGAAAAGCGATTACGGTAACATCTTTTGAACGAAAGAAAGCGAAAGTCATTGTTTTCATCATGATTTTATCCCACTTTCCACTGTAATAGGTATGTAATTTCAGGAAAAATATTACATTTCCGTGAATGTATTATATCAAGCACAGTATGAATAGAATATCATTGTAATATATCAGAATTTTAACCGAAAACTATTAAAAAAACGAGTAACATCTCAAGAACATCGGAAGCTTAGGTAAAGTCTTTTGTTTTCGTCATGTATTTTATCCTATTTTACATCGAAATACGTCACGTTTCCACAAAACTACTATTTATCTCCGAGAATATATTCATTCAGGCGCAGTTTAGGTAAAATAGACGAGTGATGTAATAGTTTTTTAACTGAAAACGATTCGAAAAACACGTACCCTCTAGCCCTGTTCAAAGAGAGGACTGGGAGAAGCTGTTTGGTGCTGCAGACGATGACAAGGAAAATGATTTTGATGGATTTTAATGAAAATATTCAGAAATATGGTATCGTAGTATTTATTCAAGTCAATTAGGATAGAATATTATTGGAATACAACAGTTTTTGAACTGAAAACCATTCGAAAAGCGATTACGGTAACATCTTTTGAACGAAAAAAAGTGAAAGTCATTGTTTTCGTCACGATTTTATCCCACTTTCCACTGTAATACGTACGTTCAGCAAAAATATTACATTTCCGTGAATGCATTATATCAAGCACAGTATGAATAGAATACCATTGTAATATAACAATATTTTGAGTCCTACTCTTTCCATTTACAGAGTACTATACAAGCCCATAATAATGGCTCCTAAAGTAGATAAACTTCGTTGTGTGAAGAGAAAGAAGAACACATTGAAATTGAGTGACAAACTTGAAATAATTAAGAAACTAGAACGTGGTGTGAGCAATACTGTTCTAATGGAAACATACGACATTGGAAAGTCTACAATTTATGATATATAAAAGGCAAAGAATAAAATTTAGAATTCACAGCTTTTTCATTAAAACTGCTCGTTTTGATAAATGAAGCATGCTATATTTGCAAATGAATAAACTATCAAAATGTACCTGTTCATTTCTTCTTTATTCTTCATTAAATTTGAATTTTAAAAGTACTGCCTGAGAATCCGGAAAATCCGAAAATCCGGACCGACCCAATCCCCAAGCAGTCCGGATTTTTGGACTTCTACTGTAGTCTACATTCCACCTAACACTACCTATATCATCCAACCCATGGATCAAGGTGCTATTGCTTCTTTTAAAGCGTATTATTTACGTACGACCTTCGCTCAGGCTGTTGCTGCTACTGAAGGTGAGAAAACGCTCTGAGAGTTTTGAAAGGACTACAACATTTTGAAATGTATAAAGAACATAGCTGCAGCATGGGATGAGGTTACAGGTCAGTGCATGAATGGAATATGGAAGAAAGTCCTGAAAATATGTGAACAGTTTCAAAGGATTTAATGAAGATGAAGCAATTTCTGAGATTAGTAATAAGATAGTGGAGTTGGGTAAACAGCTGGAGTTAGAAATTGATAATGAAGATGTTGAGCAGTTGGTTGAAAGTGTAGCAGAAGAGCTGAGTAACGAGGATCTTATTGAACTGGATGCACAAAAAATTGCAGAGGAAGAGGGTAAAAATTTAGAAGAACCTGCACCCCCCCCCCCACACAAAAAAAATTTTCAGTGAAACAAATGGCAGAGGCATTTGCTACTATTAATAAGGGGATGCAAATGTTTGACGAAATGGATCAAAATGTTGAGCATTTTGCAAAAGTTGACAGAATGATCCAAGATGCACTTGCTTGCTACAGGGAGATTTACAATGAAAAGAAAAGGCAAACTGTGCAGTCTAAATTGGACATATATTTTAAGAAGTCCCCCACTGCTGTCTCCTCATGCCCCACCAGTGCTGCCTCTTCACTCCCTAAAGATGATCCATTACCTTCAACAAACAAGTATCCCCTGTATGTTAACCTGTCTGAAGAAAGCGACATTGATGACCCACCCAGCCCCGTCTTCTCCTCTGCGTCATCCAATTAATGTAGTCTCCATGTTTAATAAAATAATTATTGGGGCCCCATGTACATTCAGCTGACTACATTAAGGGTGTACATTCAGTGACTACATTAAAGGTAAGTACACAGTAACACTTGCTTAATTTTTCATTATTGATTACTTATACTGTGCTGTATTTCATTTTAGATTTTCTATGTATTATTTTTTGCATTTTAGACTTACGACCTGGATTTGGGTCCCTAACCCCGTTGTAAGTCAGGGACTGCCTGTATATATATTGTTTTGTTTATAGTATTATCAATATATTGTACGTGTACAGTAGTGTTTGTGTAAATAAATACAGCTCCCTGTGGGATGCGGTTTATACTTGGGGAAAATTTTCCCCAGTGAAGAATGGAAAATTCCACGGGTCCATTCACACTTTAAGATAATCTATTCATGATTATTTGGGTAAAAAAAATGGTGTCTAATTTCATTAGAACTGATTTTATTGGCTCTGGTAACAACATTTAGAATTACAGGTGCTCCTCTACTTACGAACGAGTTACGTTCCTGAGGCTTGTTGTAAGTCCAACTTTACTCTTGTAGATACCAAACATATTGTAGAAAATGAAAAGATTATGGATATTTAGTACAGCTATACCCTTTAATACAGCCTTAAACCTGGCTCACTCTTCTCCTCTTAGGTAATGTTTGTTCTATCTGGAATTTTCTTCAAAATAATCCAGTCACACCCACATTAAACACCTGTTCTGGCAGATAACCCCCCTCAGTGATGATATTTGTATTTCGTGAAAGAATGTAAGTTGAACGTTCTTAAGTAGAGGAGCACCTGTATTAATATTTTTTTAAATAAAAGAATGGAGTCCCCATCATTATATCATATCAAAATATTTTGTTTAAGGATATCTTATTGGAAACATCTTGAAGAGAATTTATTCAGGATCATTAGGGTATCAAATCCATGTCTTTTAACACAATCAGAATAGATGCTGTGAATAAAAGTTTATACAGTACAGTACACCTTCACACTAGCATGTGAGAGACAGCACTCTCCCTCTCTGTGTAACAGGTACTGTATGGCCAGGTAGTGTAGTTGTGTTCATATTTCATGTTGCTTTCATCTGTTTGTATATTGTTCCATGATATAAATAGTCCTACTAATTAAATGAACATTTTCTCCTGTGATTAACATTCATTCATGAAAACTCTGCCAGGCGTAATGTAGCATTTGTTCACAAACAAGCACTTGAGGACTAACCCCATCGTATAACGGTCATTGCTTGTATATTGGGTGTTAGTTGTGAGAAGTACTATGTGCAGTGTTGCCAATGCTCTCCTTCTCTCAAGCACCTTGCTGTCATTTCTCAAAATGGCAGCGAATCGCCAAATCCGCGAATAACATTTGCTGGTGTGTGTGTGTGTGTGTGTGTGTGTGTGTGTGTGTGTGTGTGTGTGTGTGTGTGTGTGTGTGTGTGTACATTTTTACTTGTGTACAAGAAATGTATATTCCCTTTATGTGTTTGCCCTTAGGAAAATTATTTCTTTTACCTATATTGTATATATGTGTGAGTGTGTAGACAGACAGACAGACACACACACACACACACACACAAATAAATAATAATGGGAAAATACTCTCACAGATAACCAGAAGCAAATTTAATAAAAATTTTGAATCTACCCTCAAGTCCGTGCTTTATTAATAAAGTTCTGTAATAGAGAACGGACTTGAGGGTAGACTCACATTTTTAATAAATTTGTTTCTGATTATTTGTGAGAGGATTTTCCAAATATTATATTATATGTGTTTTGTGTGTCTACACACACATATTTACAATACAGGTAAAGGATATTACTGTCTCTAGAACGAATGGCTTCCTGTCCTAGCCGCAAAAATGGCGTCAACTTTTAAACTACCCACAGACATTCTTGGGTACATCCAGGGTGTCATCCGTGAATAATAGAAGACTGGAAAGAAAAAAAAAAAAAAAAATCCATGAACTTGGGGGACCCCCTGTACAGTATATACATCAACAAAAGATTTTGTGAGGTTTCTGAAATGAAGGATAGAGAAGATGTACATCTCAGTGGAGGAACTTGAGAGTCAACATCTTATTCTTGACCCCCATATAAAAAAAAATTTGCGCTACATTCTAAACACTCTGAATACCAGAATCTAAATCGCACTCCTCTGCTTATCATTCGAGAATGCATGTCGAAGTTATCGGGTTAAAGGCAAAATGTTAGTTTAAGTGTCCCTTAATGCATGGGAAAAAACTATTCTACTTTTAGTTTAAAGTTTTAAAGAATTCATGTGTGTGTGTGTGTGTTTGAGAGAGAGAGAGTACAGTACTGTACATTGCACATTAATTAGGTTGTAATTGTATCTATGTACAAATTTGGGTTAAAATCCACTGCTGTTTATTCAGGAAAACATGTTTACACGGTTGGATACCTGCCAAGACTATATTCTTTTCCATTGGAAAAACATGGGATAAAAATTGATTTTTTCCGATCAATTTTACTAAACCATTTAACTGCTATCATTTTTCTTCGGCTGATTTACTGAAATCACGCCATTGTTGTGTCAAGTTGATTGGCATTTGGCACCCCACAAATAAAAGCTGTGTACCAAAAATCACACTTAGAAGAGAAAGTCAATGATTGGTAGACACTCTAGATTGAGACATATGGCTGGTGGAGCCTCAAATTAACTAACTATCATCATCTTTGAACGATTTATGCCCTATCGCCCTCACCCCCCGTCCTGTCCTAAGTGGCCCCTCACTCATACCACAGCGTGGCTCACTACCTACATAAGGCCTTACCACACACTTTGCACCACCACAACCACCTCTTTCAACAACAATAACCAGCACTCAACAGTTGCCAGTTACTGTCTCACTTCATAGACCATAGCTAGCCACCTATGATGAGTACGAAATTTATATAAGTTTTTTATGGCCTCTTAATTTTATATCTCCAATTAGTATAAAAATAAATAAAAATAAATAAATAAAAAACTAATTAATAAAATAAATAAATAAATAAAAAACCTTGTCATGGTTTTAACTTTGATCTCCCAACTGCATCAATTATTGGGTTAACACCCAAGTTTTTAGAGTGGAATGGATGCAGCATGCCTCAACAGAAGAGAAACATAAGAGAAAAACAAAAAATCATTCTAATTTACCTGAGCTGACTGTGTTGCAAGGAGAGCCACTTTAGGTATGAGCTCCTGCTGGTAAGTAGCTGGCCATATAGACTCAGAAACCAGACCCATTTCCTGAGCCTTAGATGCGGTTATCTTGTGGCCAAGGAACAACTTTGTTGACTGTAAAAGTAAAAACAAAAAGAAAATTATCCCATAATTGTTACTGCACTTATAATAAAATTATTATTCTTTGTCATTTCTAACAAAATGTAGGGAGGCAACCTAGGGTACTGGTTTGGATTTTGGGGCCAACTCAGTATAAAACAGTACTGTACAAAAATGCCAGTAGTACAGGAGTGAGCCAACATCTCATTGGCTGACAGTCTACCAGCCATGGTGTATCTGTGTACAGTAGGTCCCCCAAATTCGCGGGGGTTAGTTCTCAAAATGGCATTGAATCGCCAAATCCGCGAATAACATTTGCTGACGGGGTGGGGGTGTTACATTTTTACTTGTGTAAAAAGAAATGTATATTCCTTTGATGTGTTTGCCCTTTAGGACACTTATTTCTTTTATCTGTATTGTATATATGTGTGTGTGTGTGTGTGTGTGTGTAGACACACACACACACACACACACACAAAACATACAAATAAATAATACTGGGAAAATACTCACAAATAATCAGAAACAAATTTATTAAAAATGTGAGTCTACCCTCAAGTTCGTATTTTATTACTTTATTAATAAAGCACGGACTTAAGGGTAGACTGTCACATTTTTAATAAATTTGTTCTGATTATTTGTGAGAGGATTTTTCCAATTATTATTTATTTGTAAGTATATGTGTGTGTGTGTGTGTGTGTGTGTGTGTGTGTGTGTGTGTGTGTGTGTGTGTGTGTGTGCGCACACAATTTACAATACAGATAAAGAAAATTACTGTCTCTAGAACGAATAGCTCCCTGTCCCGGCCGCAACATTGCCGGCAACTTTAAAACTACCAGCAGACATTCTTGGGTACATCCAGGTGTCATCCGCGGATAATAGAGAACCGCAAAATAAAAATCTGTGAATTTGGGGGGGAGCGCCTGTATTTATATAGAGGAAGTCCTCAGGTTACATACGTCTGACTTATGAACATCTGTCAATACGAATGAGGTTCCCATAAAGTATATTATTTTAAGAATACGACATAAATACAACTTTTCATAGTAACGTATGAGAACTAGTTTGCATGGCGGAGCGGAGTGGCGGGTGAGGAGTGGTAGCATCAGTACGCCTTATGCTAATCTCAGTAACATATGTGATCAAGTGCAAGGTGTTGTCTTTTTGCTTAGTAACTCAAATTTTCTGCTACCATTATGGTTCCCAAATGCAACTCTGATGCAAGTGATAGTAGTGCATCCAAGAAAAGGAAAACAATTACAATGGAAGTGAAAGTTGACGTAATTAAAAGTTGTGAAGAAGGTGAAATACCATCAATCATTGGTAGAGCTTTGGGCTTCAGTTGGTCAATGATAGGAACAATATTGAAAGACAAAGACAAAATTCTTGAACATGTAAAAGGATTTACACCAATGCATTCAAATGTGATAACAAAACAAATAAGAAGATTGATAATTGAAATGGAAAGATTATTTGTGATAGGGGTGGAAATCAAAATCAGCAGTGTATGCCTGTAAGCCTAGCCCTGATTCAGTAAAAAGCGAGAAGCCAGCCCCAGGTTTCAATGTAAGAGTTAAAATTAAAATTTACAGCATTTTATTTACATGCTGATTATTTTTTATATACATTTACTGTATTTTGTCATTCTTTTCTTTTGTCTTAAATTAAATGATATTAGATGTATATAAGGACTTAGGCTATGATAAAGTGGCATTTTAAACGTTGTTCGGTAATGACAGTATGCACAAACGTCCATAGGAACGGAACTCGTTCCAAACCCAGGGACTTCCTGGATCTGCCCGTTATTTAAATACCCACTGGAACCTATAAATACTTCACTTAGGTACAGTCATGCGCCAGTTAACGTCCAACCGAACAACATCCGATCACATATACGTCCGTGCCCCCCCCCCCAAAACTTCTGTGACGACTGCTGGACCACCATTCCACGACCCCCTGATGGAGACACGATGATCCTTCCCATACTGGCCAGATATTATGTGTTAAAGGAATATCCTTCCTCAGGCTTTCGTAAGCATTTGCCTCCAGGTGCAATGTTAACCTACAGCTATTGAGGATAAAATCTTTCACCTACAAATTAACAATAACACATTTGCTGTAATCAGACATATCTAGTTGCCTCAACAATTGCAACCCCAGTTGCAATTGGGGTTGCAATTTCAAATTTTGTGTCATTATTAAGGAATAACGAAGTCTCTGGTGCACTCTAAGATTAAGAGAGAAAACGGAGGACCCAGGCGTCCTGAAGCGAGAGAAAACGGAGGACCCAGGCATCCTGAAGCGAGAGAAAACGGACTCCTATGATGGGGGACACAAGCACTCACACTGACAGACTTGACACTCACTTACTTGACAAGTTTTACCAACCATTAGTTGTGTGCATTATCTAGTGAATTTAGTCAATATTGTACAGTACAAGTACACTGCAATACAGTGGTCCCTCGGTTAATAATGGACCTAAGTGCAAACCTGTACTGTACATGTACTAAATGATTACGGTACTAAAATTGTTATGTCTATTGCAAATATAGATTGTTTATACAGGTATTCAAATAAATCATCATCTTACAAGAATCCCAGCAATGTAAGTTATATTCACCAGGTCGTTTGGGTGCCAAATTATGAGAAGAGCTTAGTCACTCTTAAGGAATGATAAATAAACACGCATGTCTTCAGAGCCAACTGTCAAATCATATTGCCTCAACCCCCCGTGGGGGGTTTTTAGGCCTGAAGTTTTTTCATATAATATCTCAGACTAAAGGAGAATATAATTTGCATTGCTGAAATCCTTGCAAGACAGAGATTAATTTCAACATAAAAGTCATATATTTTGCTCAAGAGATAAAAATTTTAGTACATTAGTGTACATTTTGTAAAATAAAGTTTTTCAACTGTATTTTTGGGTAGATTTTACACAAATTTCTTCATTTATTTTCATCGATTTACATGCACACACCATACTAAAAGAAACGTAAAAGAAATAATTGACCTTAGTGCAAAGCTGGAGTGTACATGTACTAATTTGATTATGGTACTAAAATTGTTATGTCTAGTGCAAATTATAGCATGTTTATATTCAAATTAATCACTATCTTACAAGAATCCCAGCAATGTAAATTATATTCACCCAGGTCATTTCACTGGCTTTTTATAAGAGAGAAGCTTAGTCACTTAAGAACTGATAAATAAACACGCATTAGACTGGGCCTGTGCCAACTGTCAAAGGTACTACCTCACCTCCCGCTCCCCTCCCCCCCACGCCCCCTCGCTCCCTCTCCCCCATCTGCCCAACGTTGCTGGAATCCTTGAAAAACAGTGAATAATATTAATATAAACGTCATGTATTTTGCACAAGAGATAAAAATTAATCACCTGTATCATATTACAGTAGTGATTTAAGAGTAAAAGTGAATATGTACATACAGTATATAGTAATCCACATACACGCAAGTATAAATACAAAGTTTAAGTGATGATCGGACAACATCCATTTTGGTTAACTTCACGTTTCCAAGAACGTATCTAGGACGTTAACCGGCGCATGACTGTATAACCAAGGTTGTTTAAATTAGCATGATTATCCATGAAACATTTTAGTTAACCTAGTTAGGCTTACCAATTCCATAAAACTGGGACTATGAACATTGCAGATGTAATGTAGACTCATCATGGATGAGCATATTGTGTCTTGTCATTTAACAACAGGTCACTTGAAAGACCATAGGTCATATAAAAATATAGTTCTTGTCTCAATGTTACAATAACGTTTTAAAGGCGCTTAGTCACTTTAGATGTCATAAAAGGTTACACTCAAAACACATTCTGAGATGTTTCCTAAAAGGTTCATCAAAACTGAACTCAAAATTACTTCCTGTAAGTAAGAATACTAATTACAGACACAAGCATTTGAACAAGGCTAGAAACTATCATCTTGACAGACTCAGATAAAAAAGAAAATATTTGAAGTGAAAGAAGTAAACTTACCTGCAATTTACCAAAGAGGTTGGGGAAGGTATATGTGGCTCCTCCCTCTGGCACTTGACCCAATTTGGCATAAGGAAGGTAAAATTCTGCCTTATCATTGGCAATAACCAAATCAAAAAGGGGTAACATAGTGACCCCAAGGCCCATTGCATTCCCATTGACACCAGCAACAATAGGTTTAGGAAACTGTACCAGGGCCTTCAGGAAGTCTCTGAAAATTAATACAAGGTATCACATTAACTTAAGAGGACAGAAATTTTTTTTTTGTTAATCTGAGTGTTAACTGTGATGAGGGGATTATTTATGAACTTAGAATATGTTGTAACATCACATAAATGGTCATTCATTTTAGATAGACTTAAACAGCATAAATACTCGTACAGTGTTAAGACAGGCCAGGAAACCTATGTTTTGTTCATTCATATGAGATAATAACCATTGCTTTGACTGGGCTAGTGCCACCTCAATCTTACCTTGTAATTCAATTGTCAGTAGGAACATTATAGAATCTAGCAGTCCCCGAGTTACAAACTCCAAAAATATGAACACCAATACCTGTACTTACAAATGAATCCCAATTTATTCATCACAAAAATCTTTATTTATTTATTTATCTATTTTAATTTTTTTACATTATTGTACTTTATATTGTTTAACAACACTTTATTTACAATATGTATATTAATTGTTATGCAGTAAGTCCTCGCTTAACATTAACCCCGATAAGGTTGTTTCGTTATAACGTCACTATTCTTTAGATACCCATGATTCGGCTAACGTCCCGCCGATTCAGTGTAACGTTGTCACAGAATACTTTGTACGGCGCATCACCCTCTCTCATCTTGGCGCGCTACGCTCACCCACGGAGCGTCATGGCATCCCCAGTCTTTGTTAAGCTTCCACAGCGTTCATGCATGTTTAAGTGTTTTTGCTCTTAATACTGTACTATGATCATTCGAAATGGCTTCAAGCACCCATCAAGTGCTACTGATGTTAGTGTTGTGAAGAAGCAACGTAAGACCATTAGCCTTGCTACGAAAATGGAGGTTTTAACCGGGAGGAGGAGCCACCCGCCGGGTCTCAGTGACTTGCTACCCACCATACACTCGCTCCACCACCTCCACCCATCAGTGAGCACAATACAAATCGATTTAGTTTATTTATATATATACTATTTTCTATAAAAATGCCATTGATTTTCTGTATACGTAATGTATTTTATAGGGGAAAGGGAGGCTTGGGAACGTAACTCCTCTATTTTATATTTCTTATGGGGAAAATTGATTCCATTAACGTTGTTTCCGTTAACTTTGCGGTTTTCAGGAATGGAACCACGACATTAAGAGAGGACTTACTGTATGTGGGATATTATTGTTGTTGTTGTTTTTTGTTTGTTTTTGTATGTTTATGGTTGTGTTCTAACCTAACTTATGAAATTAACACTGCTATGACCTTCAAACAGGGCCAAGGAATGTTATCCATTCGTAACTCAGGGACTCCCTGTAATTGTACAGCACAAAGCCACAAAAAATGTGTCCAGTATAGAAGAATTACTAAGTGAACTATATTATCTCCAAGAGGGAAATTGAATTGTGGGAACTTACTTTATGCCTCGGACGAGATTTTCAGCATTTTTCTTCCGTGTTTCAATATTGTGGTGTTGAAGTGCAGTAAGATCAACACCCTGGCAGAAAGTAGAGCCGGTGGCAGTGAGTAAAACCATTCGTACAGACTCGTCACGTTTCAGGATATTGAGTGCTTCACACAGCTCTCTTAAAACCTAGAATTACAAAAAAAAAAATTTAATCCTTAACCATATAACAGAGCAAATGAATCTGCTAGTACACAAAAATTACACAAACACTAATGCAGTTAAGATAAAATTTGGGTTTTATTCAAATCCTAAATCACCCCCCTCCCCTCTCATCATCTTTCTCTGGAACAGTGCTCGACAGATGAAGTTTAGATTTTTCCTTTAGTTTACTAGATGAGTGTAAAGAAAGAGGAGTAGGGAATAATTTTTAAACAACAGAAGAGATGTGCAAGGATTTAGCAGGATATAGAGAATAAGAAATTCCCAATAATGAGACGTTGAGGTAGAAAAAAGTATTGAGAGAGAAACAAATCAAGGTCGGTCCAGATAATAATAGACAGCTGAGAGAATGAGAATCAAGAAAAAGAATGATTATAATTTAGTAAACTAAAGAGACATATAAACAGTAGATGATCCATACCAAGTTTTTCCTTCCATGACTAAGACCAATTTTGTCTAACCATGTTTAACCAATCAGCTGTCTCTCAATAACAGACATGCACACACCTGTCAGCCATATGCTCTGTAAACTAAAATGGAGACTTATAAGGCCTACATTCTTCCCCTAACAGCAGGATCCAAGAACACTTATTGGATCACTATCTAAGGTATGTTTAGCTCCCCCTGTGTGTGAGGCAGGAGAGGAGAGGAGAGGAGAGACAGATTCCCTTATTTTTCTCTCTCCATCAAAGGAGATGGGAGAGGTAGGAGAGAAATAGAGACATAAAATATGGTGTTAGTGTATGTCAGGGATGCTCAACCCACTGTCTGAGGGCCACATGCAACCCTCAGGGAAGTTTAATGCTGTCCTCGGTAACTAGTAGAAATATAATTAATGTTTCTGCATATTTAGAGAATTTAAATGTAAACAAATACTATTTTTTAAGAGGTGTTCTGATTATGATTCCCTCTCTATGTTTACAATACATGGTTAATATTTAATCATCAATATTAATGTGTATATAATTTACTACACTTCTCATTAAGGTTAACTTGCAGCCCTCAGCACACAGTTGCCCATTTAATGTGGCCCCTCATGTAAAAAGGTTGAGCACCACTGGTGTGTGATCCCTTTGTTCCTTGCTGCTTTATTTTATATATCTGGCAGAAAATACAGGATATTTTAGATAATAACACACAAGCTAACAGAAAGCTTAAAGTTTGTTATAATTCTTCCTGCCGCTTAATACACTTGTCTTTCACCACTATCCTAATTATTTCCTCCATCTTTGAGGCTTCTGTACATCTTGATTCATCCCACACATAAACTAGGAGAGGAGTAAAGAAACGGGATAAATACCTATCAAGAGATGCTAAACATGGCATAGTTTGGTCTTGCTTCTAGCTGGGCCTATTGCAAACAAATGCACTGTCAGATATCAATATACAATTAATGTACTCCAGTATCCCATAATATCAAACTGTTTGTTCAATCTAACACACCTCAATTATTATACATTTCTTGTTCATATGCAAATTACATATTGGACACCCACTGGCCTTGTTCATTTCTTCCCCTATCCTGGTTGTTATATCCTTACAAATATCCCATCCTCCAGACTTAGACACTAACGATACAAACGTTTTTCATTAAGGGACTGGTCAAATGGGTCCAGTGTAAAACAGACCCCATCCTAACCTAATCAGACCTGATGTTTCTGTGAGGTTGTGTCAGGTCTTGTTAAGTCAAGCTAGTTTGGGCTCTATTAAGGCTGGGTTCCACTGAATCTGCAACCTTATGCAACTACAGTATTACTTAAAACATAATAAAAAATATAGAAATTAAATACTATACCCTAAATATTTCTTACCCTCGAATTCAAAGCATTCTTCATTTTGGTCGTTGATGGCGAAAGGATGATCTGTGTAAAATTATTGAACTTCCTAAGGGAAATATCTCGATAGTGATAGTTGCCTTCACTCTGTCTGACACTGGCCCTTTGGGACTGACGGACAGACTCTCCTCCAATCCTCTGCCTACTCCTTTGATGTCCACTCCCATCAAAAGTTCTGACCAGCGATGAAAAGCCTGCAAGTATTCACAGAAGGTTGAATTTCAAGTATAAAAACACACAAATAAATATACTGTATGGTATATGGATTGATCCTCAAATCTTATTTATTACCTTGCTGAACCTATAACCCAGTGGCTCTCATTACGGTGGCTTAGCAATCCTGCTATGCCCCTACTTGACAGCTGAAGGCTAAAAGCAAAGGTAGTCCTCTGGAAGCAGGAGGTCTAATTAGAGCCAAAATACCTATTTATTAGCCAACACCACATTTGAAAAAGGTTTTCCTGCCCAAGTTCAAAGGCTATGTGCTGGGTAAAAATGAGCAGAGTGGACAATTCATTCATAACACACACCACACTCTACAGTTATTCTGAAGCTAGGCAATAGAAGCTGCACACACTTTTAGGGCATGAATACACAGGAGGAAGATAAACCATAAAAACTGTTATAATGTAGTTTTTCAGTCACGAAGATTGATAATTTGAAAGGTGGTTCTTCCAGTGTCAATAGTGAAGATACTGAAGCTGTCCAACATGTGCCAAGTACTAGTGTAGCCAATTTTACATATTTCCATCTTTCCCTCATGTAGATAACACAATGAACACTCAATAAAAAAACTATCTTTACAATTCCTGTGCGAAACAAAATGACACCATGAACGAAGGCTTTTGATAAGGGCCCATGAGGCATACCTCGCATTGGTAGCCCTGCATGTATGTGGATTGTTCAATTCAAAATTCCTTGGAGTCCTCAGGAAAGATACCGTACTTTTTTTTACCGAGTGTGCTGTAGGACTGGATTATGGCCCAATTTTCACCTCAACTTTTACAATGAGATGCTTCAAAAAGTGGTATTTCTTCTAATGAAGGATAATCTTCATAATCATTCAATACATATCAAATATTCAGTATATCAGGCTACAGCCTGACAATACTGGACAACAACTTTTCTTTTACCTTGGCATCTTTAAGTATAGTTATGATATTATTGAAATTAAATTTGCCACATTCATCTAATTTTCTTTCTTTTTATTCATCAGCCTCTCTTTTCTACACACACATGCAATATTGGTTTGCAATATGCAACCAAGAATGGTTATTGTGAAACATGGCAAACCATTTCCCTAGACTTTATCGCCAAAGCATTAAGTCTAGGGAAACTTGCAGATGTAAACAATTTTCACCTCTGGGTGCTGGGTTTAAAACCCAAACCACCAGGAGTGGTAGTCAGGCAGTTTATCCACTTGTCCGGGTTCGAAACCCGGCACCCAGAGGTAAAATTTTTTACATTGATTTACCTGTGTAGATTACAGGTTGATATAAAGCTTGCACATGAAAATCCTTTGACTGCATCTAGTTTCCTTGGTATTATCTTCACTTTTCTATGCAATTTTACTGAGCTTTAAATTATGGATGACATTACAGTACTGCACAATATACACCAATTACTATATGGTGTTATTCATCTCACTCAATAAAAATTTTGTTCCAGGTAATAAATACTGTGTTGAACTTTATAACTTTATCCCCAGCACATTATTTTTGCTTCTTACATTATTGCAAGCCTTGTCTTTCATAAAGTAGTGCAGTGGGAATACAGGGCAACAAATTCTATCACTTGCTGTCATTCGTCTCCCTAACCGCTGTAACAGATATGTTCTGTGTGTGTGTGTGTGTGTGTGTGTGTGTGTGTGTGTGTGTGTGTGTGTGTGTGTGTGTGTGTGTGTGTGTATACACATATTAGAGAACAAATTCCAATTGAAATGTCACTGTTTCAAATTAGCAGTGGTTCTTTTTTATTCAAAAGTTGTGAGCCACCATCATTATGCTGAGCAGCCTCTACAAACTATTTCCTCTGCAACCTCCAGTGAGTAATGAATTTTATTTATTGAATACATATCATATTTCTATGCATAAAAGACTTTGTTAAAATTGTTTTATTATTAATTACGAGATTAAAACATTATATGTTCATAACTGCATCTGTTAGCCTGCTGTGACCACCAGTTTTATCACTGGCACCACTGATTCCTACGTTCATCCTGCTGCCGACGTGATCGGACCAGATGTCGCTTCTGTTTACGTAACCATAACTCTGCCGCCTGTGCCCAGAAAATCAAAGACCACCTTGATGGGGGTGGTATGGGCTATGTGGTTGATCCCAGGTGTTGTAACTGTGGCGGCCGGCACAATGCTGACTCACGGCAACGCCCCAATCGCCAGTCTGTCCCAGAGGAAAAGCCTTCCCAAAGGCCGCATCTACAACGCCCCCCCAATCTGGCCGCCTCCTCTCGTCCCTCTGTCTACATAACGCCTCCTTCTTCAACAACACCTGCCCCTGTATGGCCTCACCTGGCTGTAACACAGCAGCCCCGCTGTCTCCTAACTCAACTACTACTGGGCCTCCTCCCGTCTCTACTCTGACACTGTCAGGCATTGTGCTCCCACCGGTGCCCCCACAACCCCCTCCAGTGACATGACACAGATCATATCCCTCTTTCAAGAATTTACCAACCGCACTGAAAAACTCTTCGTTATACTCTGTGCCACCATCTCCGACCTACAGTACCCTTGCCCACTGTTGCCACCCAGTCACTCCCCTCTTCTGGTTTGACACAAGCTGGTAGTCCCCCTGTGAGCCCCCCCCGCCCCTCTGCTCACGGCCTACTCCACCGCCGGTGGCCTTCACTACTGGTGTAGCGCCTACCGGGCCTGCCCTGGTGTGTCCTGCTACCCCCGAACGAAGTCCTGCCTCATCTTCACGACAAGTGGTGCCTCAACCTGTCCTCCACCCACTGCAAGCCACGCCTGCTCCTGTGTCTGTGCTGTCTCCACCAGGGCTACCTATTGGACCTAAGGACACCACCCCCGGCTACCCGTACCCCACCGGTATGCTGACGCACACGCCTATCACTCACTATAAGGTATGTCCCTCAATATTGTCAATGCCTATGTGCCTCCCTCCACTGCTACTGTACCTGTCCCACCACACCATATCACCTCCACTCCCACTGTACTTCGCCACGCCTAGTACATTGGCAACCCAGAGCCTGGCCGCACTGTTTGTAAACTTCGTGGTCAACCCGACTCTCACACCCTCTCTCACTACATCCTCACTTGCCCTATGACCTCCTCCTACAGGTCCTCAGCCATTGCCAACACCTCTTCCCTCCCTGACCAGATATCCCTCCTCCTAGTGACAGGCCTGGCACTTGACATTATTAGGGACCTGCCACACTTTGCCTTAAACAGATAAATTGTTCCGGGAATTTTGCCCCACACACTCATCATTCTGTCACTTTATTAACTTGCTGACAAATCTCATGACCCTTCAGGCTTTTATGCCTTTAATGCACTAGTCATAAAGGCAAGCATGAACTACACATGCTTCCCAGATGGGCGCTGTAAACGCTTCACCTTGCACAGAATGTAACGGGGTACCCAATAAACTAGTCCCCTCGGGGGCAATCTAAGAAAAAAAAAATATTTTGAAATGTTTAGATTCCTGGTTAACATTTATAAAACAAGTGAAAGTACAATAAAAAAAAATATTTCAGTATTAAACTAATAGAGGTTGCATTTCTACCAACAGGCTGTATCCTGGACTAAGCCAGCACAGTCCATAAGTTCAGACGACGCAACACATGCCCTGTACACACACACTGTATTCTGACTTAAATAATAAAATCTTTTATACTTACTGGTAGGTTATTTTTGTGCACATATATCGCATCATTTATGTTAACACTTATTACAATATTGTATATCTTTTGGTAGTTATTCAGTTATTTTTTTGTGTGTGAAAAATTACCAAAAAAATGCCCCCAGGACTGCATTCCCCCACCTAGAACATTAAGTCTATGAGAAAATATATACGGATTACGTTGTTTCACCAAATATGTTTTCTAAGAACACATCCTCAATGTAAATATAGTTTCTTCAACTCTTCATCGTCATTTCTTTTCTTTATACAGTACAGGTAGTATGTACATATTGCAATAATCCTAAATCTTTCAACATGCTGTTGTAGCTGTTAAAACCAAGATAACTTCTGAGATGACCAACCTAACATGCAAAATTCATGACAGACATTCTATAAGATAACAAATATTGAAATATGAGAACCTGAAAGAGATGAGTTTGATGGAATAAGGCATAAAATATTACAGAATATTCTCAGAAATATTTTATAAGAATACCTCCTTGAATGGCAATCCAATTATTACCTAACTTCAGAATGTAGACTTAAACTACAGATTATCATTACTGTACTGCACTGTTAAAATAAGATGTAATTTATTACTCATTTCCAATTTTAACTAATGATTTGTACAGATACTGAAAAATTAAACTAACATGTACAGTACAGCTGTATCACTATGAGCAGTACCAGACTGAATGCTCGAACTGTCAACTTACTTGCAGCAGTAGGGCTGGATATGTTGTCAAATCTCCGAAGCTGAGGTGGAGGTGTCTGTCTTTCTGGATATGGTCTGGGCCTCTCCATAGTATTTCTCGCTGTCAATCTTGATTCCTGCATTGGTGTTGGTCTGGATATGAGTCTACTAGGGACGTCACTAATATTCTGTTTTGCAGGTAATCTCGTTTGTTTCCCTATATCTACCATAGCAATCTGTTGAATGGGACTGGGCCTACTAACAGGCTTAATTGTTACACTGTCAGATGCCAGCTTTATTTTCAAAGGGGGTACAGACCTATCTGACTCTTTCTCTGCAGGAGTGGGTCCCAGAGGCGTTTCGTTAAACGTTTCTTTTGCCTTCCTCAACACTTCCTGGAGTTCAGCCAAATTCATGTTATCATCTTCCTTGTGTGGAGTAACATCACTACCCGTAACTTTCAATTGTTTCTGCTTTTGGAGTTTCAACTGTATTCTTATAGCTTTATTTTTTTGTCGAACTGATAATGGAAGAGTTGGCTTTCCTTTCTTTTTAGTTAGACTCACATCCACATCCGAGGCAATAGGTTCTACACTAACAGGCCGTTCCTGGAATTCTTCAGCAGCAGCTAATTCATAAGGATCCTCACTAGGGTCTTGGCTTTCCAATCGTGCCCTTTTAGAATCTGGTGGTTGCATAGATCTAATAGATGTATTGCTAACTGTGCTTGCTCCACTTAACTTTCTTTTCCTGCTCTCAGAATTCAACTCAAGAGAAGATTTACTCGTTTTGATGCCTTTAACACTCCTAGAACTACTGGCTTGAGATGTGTCACTGGCAGCATCATCTTGATGACTTCTTCTTGAGTGGGGCTCTAAACTAGTCAGCAGATTAAGGACTCCTTCATCCATGTACAAAGTATCTAGCTCAGTTCCTCTTCTCTTTTTCTTCGTTGTCAAAAGTGCTTCCATGGCTTCAAAATCAGGAGAGAATGCCAGCATTGGCTCAGTGGCCCTCTTAGGACGCAGCTTGTGAGCACCAGGGTCATTATTTGGGGAAGTCTCAGGTGCAATGCTTGAGTCTTCACCCATACTTTTGAGCATATTTTGGACACCTTCATCTTGGAAAAGCTGTTTCAATATCCGTGGTACTTTTTCTTTTGACTTTGCAACTGAGGTAACTGGAACTTCTGTTAAAGGTGTTGATGTGGAACAGGGTCCTGCCACAGCTCTCCCTTCTTGCAAGACATTTTGTACTGGTGGTTTCCTGGTCCCCCTTTCTTCAATAACTTCTGGAGAACTACTTTTGTCCAGGGCTGGACTAGCTTCTGGGGCTTTGATAACTTCCTGGCTGTTAGTCTTTTCTTTATTCTTAGTTTCTCCCTTTTCAATTATTAGTGGAGTCTTCATGCAAAGTCCACTTTCTTTTGTTTTTTGCACAATTGCTGGACTCCCCTTTACTGAAATATTTGCTTGACTTTCTTGTTCACTAGTTTCTGCTGGAACTAGGTTACCTTGCCTCTTTCCTTTCCCCTTGTGTGCTTGGCTAATTACCTGAACCTCATCACTTTCTTTGTGTGTTGTGTTAACTCTCTCTTCCAGATCAACAACCTCAATCTCTGCCTTTTTTGGTATTCCAAGACCTTTTTCTAAGTTGGGTGTTTCTTTTACTATCACATCTTCCATGTTATCCTTCTGCACAATCTTTACATCTTGTTCTAGATCACAAATATTCTTCACACCCTGTACTTGCTTGATCTGGTTTATTTCATTATCATTTGGACAGTTTATAGTTGAACTAAATTCAACTTTCTTCTCAATTTCTTGAACATGAACACCTCTCTCTACTAAGTCTGTCTGTATTACACTTTCTGCTTGAACTGGAGCATTTTTTACTTTAGGACTACTTTTTTGACTTGGACTATCTTTGTGACCTCCTGGGTTTTCTTTCTGAGCAAGACTATTAACCTGGTCTGAGTCACCACCCCCAGTTAGTTTATTACTATCAATTAAACTCTCTCTCTCTGGTGCATTAACTTTCTGAGCCAGAGTACGTCTCTGTACAGGTCTGTCCTTCTGAACATGGGTTTTGCTCTGATCAAGTCTATCTTTTTGTGAAAATATCCGAGGTGAGTTGTCTGTTTGGGATGGGGTGACTTTCAGTACTGGGAGACCTTTCTGAGCCAAACTATTTTTCTGAATATGATGGTCTTTCTGCAATGGTGTGATTTTATGATCTCTATTTTCCTTCTTATTAGTATTTCCTTTAAGTAAAATACCTCTCTGTTGTGAAGAATTCTTCTGTATTCTATCATCATTCTGTAACTCATTATTGTTCTGCGCAACAATTAGTTTTTGCACTGGGCAGTCTTCCAATTGTAGACTACCTGTTGGTGTTTGGTTTACTTCAATTATTTTTTGCACTTGGCTCTCTTTTACAGGGAAAATACCCTTGTCTGTCAGGCCAGTGCTGCTTTTTTGTATTGGATCATTGTTATTAGTAGAACTGTCATTTGGCAACAAACTATCCTTCTGTAAGCACTTGTCTTCACCCTGCTGCATAGACTTATCTTTCTCTAAGGAACTAATTTTTGGTAATGTACTACTTTCCTCAATTGGAATATTTCCCTCTGTAGCAACAACTTTTGGCAGTGTAATATTTTTCTGTACAATACTGTCTAGCCTAGTAGAACTAGCTTTTGTCAAAGTATTACTAACCTGTAGAGGAGTATCCTTCTCTGTAGACTTGGTTTTCACCAAAGTACTACTTGCCCGAAGAAGAGTAATTTTCTCTGTAGATTTACCTTCTGGCAAAATACTACTCTCTTCAGCAGAAGTATCTTTTTCTGAAGAGTCAGCCTCTGTTAATATACTATGAGCTAGCACAGATATATCCTTCTCAGCAGAATTATCTTCAAGCAAAGGAATAATCTCTTGCACAGATATATCTTCCTCTAAGGAATTAGCTTTTGGCAAAGTAGTGCTCTTTTGTATTACAACATCTTCCTCCACAAAACTATCACTTTCTAAATTGTCTCCCTTCTGAGAACTCGTCTTCTCTAACATGTTAAGTGTTGAGGATGCATTGCTCTTCACCAAACTTCCCTCCTTCACAACAGCACTATCCTTGGCCAAAGTACTGTCCTTCTGTACAGAGGAATCTGCAGCAGTAACTTTTGGCAATGAATTTATTTTTTGTCCCGGGATCTGTTTATCCGCAGAAATGACCTTTGGTATGAGTCTTGCCTTCTGTCCAGACATAATTTTTTGTATAGTATCACTTTTTTGTGCCGGTGCACTTTCAGCATCCTTATTAACTCCTGTTGCTGGGCTTATTTTCTCCATTACAGACTTAGCCAAATCCTGACTGGTTTCCTTACGTTTGGCTTGCACTGGTTTGACTTTTGGACTTTGTTTTGAAATTTTTTGTTCCTTATTAGAAGTAAGGCTCGTTGAAATGGCAGTGGGATTTTCGAGTTCAGATAATGCGGGCACTTCTTGATGTGAAGGTTTTTGAACACATTTAACCACCTTTGTACTCTGAGTTTTATCAGGGGATACTGGTGTTTGATTACACAGTGAGGCACTTGACTTTGCATTTTCTTCTTTGTTTTCTTGTATAGACTCCTTGTCTTTCTTACCTGCATTATCTTTCTTAACTGTGGCAGCTTTTCTTTTTTTAGTGCTCTGAACAGGAACTATTTGCAGGAGATCTTTTTGATCTTTTTCAACTTGGGATTTAATTTCTTCATGTGATTTTGGTCTTTTTGGTGAAGGAGATAAATCTTTTATATTTGAGCATTCCGTATCCTCTGGTAAGACTGTTGCTGCTTTTTGTGACTTCTTAGCTGGAGAAGTTCTCTTCCCTCTTAAAACTGGTCTGCTGACAGGAATCACAGTCTGTGGCTCACCATTCATTGTATTATGAACATCAACAACCACAGTTGCTAGCTTCTTACTTGACTTTCCAGCTGCAGTGGTACTGCCGTCTTTATTCACTCCTAATCCTCTCTTGGGTGGTCTACCTCTTGGTCGTTTTACTGGAGATTCAACTTCAACAGTATTGGCAGGGGAATCTTCTTTACTAACTTTACTTCTGTTGGGTGTAGCCCGCTCATTGACAGATGAGGCTTTTGCAGAGGGGCCCTTCTCTGCTGAACCATTTTGTAATACTTCGCTGTGACCATTCATTACGTTCCTGGGTTCTGATTCTGATCTTCCACCAGCTTTCATAGTGACTTTTTTGTTAACTCCTTTCTGAGCACCTACTTTTTTACTCTTTGTTGTGTTGTCAGCAGATCTTGATCTTACAGATGGCAGGGAAAGTAATTTTGCAGCTGCCTTGACAAGAGGACAGGATATTTTAGTTTCAGTACTTTTACTTTCACAAGATTTTGCTTCAGGAGTTTTAGGTTCAGTCTTCATCTCTTCAGCTACATCTGGAGTAAGTGCTGCTAGAGATAAAGAGGCAACTGAAGTAGTAATTGGGGAAGAAACTGGGGAACTCTTATCTTCTAATTTCACTGTAACTTCTCCCTCCACCCCATTTTCTACTTTGCGAACCTCACGCAAACCCTTTGTTAATGACTTGGGGGCAAAAAACTTCTTCTTCAAGGCAACTGGGTCTGAGTTTAATGGTGTAGTTGGTGTGTTTGGTATACTGAGTGAAGTATCTATTATTGAGCTATTTGCAGATGCAGTGTTCTTTACTTCATTTCCACTCTGGGGTTGCATTCCTTTATTTTCAATTGGACTTAGTCTTTTCGGAGTGCTATTTTTGGGGCTCGTTCCTTCAGGAGTGTTGACAGACCTACGAGTTCTCCCTGATTTTCTCTTTTGGGTGGTAACTGTAGTTTCAGCTAAATTTGTTTTACCATTGGTAAGTGGTTCATCTATACTTTCTGTGCCCTGCAAGAACTGCTGCTTCATACTCTCTAAGACATTGTTTGTTCCAACCACACTCAATGGTGTACTGGCCATATCCACTTTCATTGTGCTTTCACTTTTGCTATTATTATTATTGTTATTCACAACGTTTGCATCATTCTCACTATTCTCCCCTCCCTTAGACTTTGACTTGGCTCTGCGTGTTCTTTTCTTGTTCTGAGTTCCTTGCTTTGCTTCTTCAGCTTGCTTCCGAGCACGATACTCAATCCACCGGATCTTACGGCCGTCCACCTTGGTCACTTTCCGTACTTTAATGGCTACTTCCAGCTCTTGAAGCTGACTGAGTGCGATCTTTTTCTCTTCGTCAAGAGTTATCCTGGCACCTTCACCCCCCGCAGGTGACTCAGAGGGTGTGGTGACAGCCAGCTTGGTGCCTGTGGGTGTAGATATGGGTGAATGTAGGGAGGCTCCCACTGAGGCAGGGATGTTGGGGGTACTGGCAGTGGCATTGTTGGTGGCAGTGCGCAGTGCAGAATCATGCAACAGAGTGGAATTGGTGCCAGCGGAGGCTCCTCTACGAGGCTGAACAACAGGAGGCATATTGAGCTCCTCCTTGGTAGGGGATCCAGCACCCTCCAAGGCAGCAGCAGCAGCCATCATGCAGTAAGCCACACACTACACAACAACATACACGCAGCCTTAGTCCTACTACAGTCCAAACGCCTACACCACAACCTGCAAACATAAACACACCAAATTAACAAAACTAAGGAGAAAAACTAAAATAAATGTAGCCTAAAAAACTCAAAAGAAAAGAAATCAAATATAAGCTACAACAAAACCAATACTATGGGAAGAACAAAAAACAAAAAGCACATCCAAGCATTAACTATGAAAGCTATTTATCTTACCTTTGATGGTAACCCTAAGTACTTAAAGTAATCGATCACAATTCAGTTATTTCTTATAAATAATTGCTGGAGACTAATGCAACCTTGATAACCAGGACATAGCAGTGACCTCTTGGTTTACTGCATACAACTGCCATCACTAGATCAAGAGGAACTCCAGGCATATCCAGGTGACATCACAATTGGTGACAAATTTTTATTTAACCATTTCTAGAGTGTAATGAGTGATCTCACCCATAATGCTTGACATTATCATAAAAAAGCTAGATTAATTTTACTAAAGTAAGACAATCTAGGTTACAATTTGCATTTCCCAAAAACCCTTATGTAACTCATAATCCCCAATCTTTAAACCCTACAAATTTAAATATTTTTATTTCTTTTTTTTTTCAGTACATCAGGGGAAGGACATAAATGCACTTAGTGTACTGATTTCAATACTTGCCAATTCTTGTAATCATGATTCCAGCAGGTGCCACATAGTTATATATCAAAGAAGACTTTCACACACAAAAATGTCGAGAACTACTGTATGTAGCATAAGCGCAAAAGGAATCCAATGTAAAATGACTATTTGTCTCTGCCTTGTTATAAGACCGCCAAAATGAAAGTCTCCGCAAAACTGTTCTCATTTGTTCCATCTATGTCATGTGAGACTTTTGGTGATTTTTTTTTTCAAGATTAACACATTTTCATTACAGAAGTGAAATATGAAACTGTGTTCACATTCTACTTCATTACCTTAATATATCTGAATATTTTAAAGCTCCTCACTATCAGCATTTTAATTATTATTATTAGTGGTGAGACTATATATTTTAGTAGAACCATTAGCATCTACTGTATATGCTATTAAAATCTCAGTTAGATAACTAATAATCTGTAAATTCACTTTGTGAATAAAGGGTCATTTGAAAAGGAACTGTTATTTATGCTAGTACAGTACAAGTACTGTACTGCATTTCAGCAGATTACCTGACTGATAAATCATCAACCAGAATTTAAAGATTTTTTTTATTTTGGTGACATGCTGTGGGTACCGCAGTATTCCAAGACATACTTGATGCATTATCTTTACACAAACATCATGATGTTCTCATGCCTCTTATTTTCTGACACCATTTACATGTCAAGCCAAGGAATCATTGTGTCTCATTATGAATGCTTTTTTTTTCCTTATCCAAATTCCAAAGGAAAAAGACCATGAATCATTATTTTATGAACAAAATTAAAATACAGTAACCTAAAATAGGAATGGTGTGTAAACAGCTACATAAGGATAATCAAAACTAGTATAATACTCGTAAAAACAAAGAAAAATAATACTGCACTGTAAAGCTGCAAAAGGATATGGTACTATAAATAAACCAAGAGAGGCTACAGTACATTAACCCTTAAGCCCCAGGTTAGGGTGCTATTGTAATTAACAACCCCCCCCCCCCCAAATCGAGAAAAAATCAACTAAAAAAAAAAAAGGAGGCAATAGGTGGACGTTCTGGAACGTCACCTGGGGCCTAAGGGTTAAGCACATCCTAATATTATCGTACTTTTATAGATGATCACAAATACTGTACTAACTCAGTTTAAATAAAAGCTCCATGCGTTATATAAATTATGAGTAACAAACGGTTATCCACTTACATTACAAAGAGTACAATCTATGAAGCTAAAATAAGCTGCTGCATGCAACCAGGAGGAGCTGGCTGAGAAACATACCAACAAATGTCATAACATGTATAAATTGCATTTATGTAGTACAAAGCTTTTATTTATAAGAAAAATGCACCAAGCCAATGCAGTTAACAGCAGTAAATTCAGATTTGAGCTGCAAGCATTATCAAAGGCACTCTGCACATTCAATCTTTCAGTAACATAACATACACAAAGGAATCTGGATAATTAGGGCTATCTATTTGTTATAAAAAATCACATTCCTGTTTTTATCTTAAATAATCCTACAAAATACACATACTACCACCCTGGTGTATGATACAGTATATACATTCTAAATTTCCTTATCACGTTTCAAGAAAAATATCAAAATGTAAAGTGTAAAAAATCTAGGTATAACAGCGGTGTGTTAAGTGACATAAAAAGTAGTTTTACAATTTAGACAACAGAGTAGTCTGCATCAAGAAGGCTAAGACTGAAGAAGGGTCTTCCTGCCAGTGGAATAAAAGAACCTAGTACTGTAATCATAAAGGAGCCTAGTACAGTACTGTAATCGTAAGAGCCTAGTACAGTACTGTAATCATAAGAGCCTAGTACAGTACTGTAATCGTAAGAGCCTAGTACAGTACTGTAATCATAAGAACCTAGTACAGTACTGTAATTATAAGAGCCTAGTACAGTACTGTAATCATAAGAGCCTAGTACAGTCCTGTAATCATAAGAGCCTAGTACAGTACTGTAATCATAAGAGCCTAGTACAGTACTGTAATCATAAGAGCCAAGTACTGTAATCATAAGAGCCTAGTACTGTAATCATAAGAGCCTAGTATTGTAATCATAAGAGCCTAGTATTGTAATCATAAGAGCCTAGTACTGTAATCATAAGAGCCTAGTACAGTACTGTAATCATAAGAGCCTAGTATTGTAATCATCTTTAAGCAATAAATTACCCAAATCAAAGTAAATTACTATATTTTATATCATGTGATGAATACCTAATCTTTGTCAATTTTCTCTAACCAAGGCTACTTCCCCTATCCCCAACCCCTTTCTGCACAGGTAACCTCTATATCTGATCTACTAAGTTTCATCCACTTTTTTGCACTGTCACTACACAAATAAATTCATCATTAACTTCTAGGAATTTGTGACAGGCACTAAGGACACTCAAAGTAGAGGGAGTTTCGATGAAATGTCGGTTCTGTTCACACACTTTTATTTCTTGGTGCAAGCATAAGACAATTGCTTCATTTAAAGGACAACCAAACCAGCATGCAGGATTCGTCAGCAAATGTCTGAAGTAACAGCTGTTGAGTCTTCAAGGTGTGCTGGTGACCACATGCTGAAATGCTCAGGAAGATTTTACATGAGCTACCCAATTACATTATAAGAAAAATAACAAACTGAAGACAAGACATATCAGATGGTAATTTCTTATAACAAGATTTTTTGTTATGGCTAATTATTTTACAAGTCTTAAAACCTTCAGTTTATAAATTAAAACATTCACAACAAATAAGATCAACCATTGTGCACCAAAAAGCAATATTTGAGATACCAAAGTGCTCAACCGTAACATGATAAATAATAATACAGATATATACAGTGCAGCAGACTCCTGATTATTTGCCAGATTATTTTCCTGGATAATAAATGGAATAACTGATCAATAAAACTTGTGAGAAAAATATATGTTCTAAGCTGGCTGTTTAAGAAGGAATTATTCCTCACTAAGACTCTTATATTAATATAAACAGTACAGTACGGTACTATACTAAAAGACTTAGAATTATGATTTGAAAAATTTAGAGTCATACAGAGAGTGAACAATGGTGGTGGTGGTTAACACAGCAGATGGTGGTGGTAGGCAGGTGGGCTGATAACATAATTTCTAAGCCAAAGTTTTTTTTTTTAAACTCCATAATCACTAGAAGGCTGCATGGGACACATGGTTGCCATTGTAATACACAGAGAAATAGTGTACAAAGACTGCCAGGAAGTTATAATACCTGTACATGGTGTACTGAACACAAGATACACAATGTCCCAATGAAGCAAGAGATGCACTGTGACTCATGTTGCTTCTGTAGCATCCTAAATAACAATGAAGCACGCACACTCTTCCCACAGTGCCACATTTGAATGGACAGGAAAACCTGGGATGGGGTGGTAGGGGAGCAATTAGTAATTGAACTAAGTAAAATAGCCAGAGAACCACAGATAATAAGGATAACATTTGCAAATATCAAAACAATGGTCCTAACTTTTTTTTTTGCCTTGGATAGTTATTCCACAAATAAAAAGGCTAATAATTGGGAGTCATGCACACAGAATAATAAAGGTCTACTTTGAAAAGATTAAATAAAAGCATTAAGTCATCACCATCCATATTTCACTCATCTTCAATCTTGTTTTATTTATCAAGTGACCCTTGAGCTTGACCTTTAGTGCAGCAACAGTGTTACTACTATGCCCTCATTACTGATCCAAGAAAACATGCTACAGTACTAATTATTGTTTGATAATAACTTTCATCAAATGTAAGATATAACTGGTCAAAATTCATGCCATAAGCTTGTGGCCATTAAGAAGCTCTCAAAGACGGACAAAGCACAGTACAGTACAGAATACAAAAAGGTCTAAATACTTTGAGTATTCTTAACACATGCATGCTCATATGTGTACATACAAAACATCCAAACCTATGTACACAAACACCCATGCATTTTACATTCTCTCCCTCTCCCTCACACACATTTTCTCTAAGTATTTCTAAGAATTACAAGCATAACAATGAGGATATGTAGTGAATAGTGTAATTTAACATTTACCGGTATATAACTTAATTCATGCTTAGGGTTGCAGTTATGATTGCATTTTTTTTAATTACAGCCCATTATAAAGAGCATTCAAATATTCAACAAACAAAATGTGAAACAACAACAGGGTCAAGGTACATATCTGCAGAGTTAACTTTATGAAGCGTACACTTACTGGAAAAGAATCGAATACCGGTATGTATTTCCTGTTGAGATAATTACGAGGCCAAATCATAAATCGCAACTTTTCGTTCATAAAACTACAAAATAAAGTGACAAATAAAAGTTACCCACCAAATATTTTTCTGAAGTAAAACTCATAAACCCAATACTG